TAAGAAAATAAAACTTCAAGATAAGTGCTGAATATGCTCCTTGCCTCCCTGTTCTTCTTTCCTTTTAATGTTTTCTGTTGTGATGGGAACAACAAGTAAATACCTAAATTTGAGAATTATTACTGCAGGAGAAGGTTGTGGTTCTTTTTCCCTTATTTGTCTGAAAAGTTAAAGCTACCCTTTATACTGGGGGGGGGTGGGTGTGTGCTTAAAATGTTAATCAGCTGGGAGACCGTGTGCTGGCCGTCCTTGAGGACAGACAGATTGTATGTAGTTAAGTTCTATGTCAGTCTGTCTTTCAGCATGTGAAGTGTTACTTGTAGAGAATAAATTCTTTGTTGGCCCTGTACCTAATCTCTATTTAAAGTGCAGTTTAACCTGTATTGCCAGTTGTTACAAGCATGTAATACACAGATTTGGCAACAGTTATAAAGTGCCTTTAGGAATAAAAACTGAGGTTAGGTTTTATTCTGCTTGAGATATTAGTACAGTTGCAATGAAATATGTTTTGGGACATTTAGGTGCTGTTCTTGAATTGACAAAGGTGCCTTACGAAATAAAGCCAGTCTAGTAGGCAGACATAATGTCTTTTATATCCCCAATTAGTAGAGTGGGGGGAACTTCTTTGTCCAAGGAAGGGCTTGCAAGACCAGAAATGTGCTTAATCTTTCCAATTATTACAGTTGTTCTAATAAAAGGTATTACTCCTACCTGCAAAATTCCCTTCTCATGTCCTCATTGCTATAAATACAGTCCTGCCATCAGTTATGTGATTTAAAGAAATTGCCACTAAATTGTTAGTACATTTCATTTGCTTTTTGAATATTTTCTTCTTTATTTAGCAAGGTCTTTCTGGCAATCTGGGCCTAAAATTTGCTCTCAGCAGTGGACCAGGGGAAAGTTAGCTCAGCTGTAAGAAGCATTCAAGCACATGAGGTGTATTTAGGCTGTTTGCTGAGCACACGCCTAAAATTTGCAAATAATTTTGTAACAAGATGCCTAAAGGCATTTAACCAAAAGGCATTTCAACGCTTCTCTTTTCACCTTGCACCACTGGGTGATTCATAAGGCCATGGAAGAGCCAGATCAGTGGGTGTCCTTGGAGCATGTCTGATGTAAGCTGAGATCAGCGCAAAGCACAACAGTTTCGTCTGGCAGAGGAAGATGATCCTTATTCCTTCTGAATTTTGCTTGATAAAATACACAGGCAATCTTAAGGGCAGGGCCAGAACCTGAATTTTCTCTCAACTCTTGAATGCCCTTGTCACCAGGCTGGAGAAATTGCTTTACATTGTAAACAGGAAGGTTGTCAGATATTTTGTCTTCATGAAGAGAGAGAGGAGTAAAGGCTACTTTACTTGGTGTGATTTGGCGGTTTTGCTATATCTGTCCTGATCTGCTTCGACATCTGTTAAGTTTGAAACTCAACTGATTTGATGAAATGGTGCTTTTAAATATGCAGGAGTTGAAAATTGAGAGCTCTGAAGTCCAGTTGTTGCCTGTCCGTGAACAGACCACCTCGTCAGACACCTGTGTGGAAGGTGGCTCCACTTAAATGTGAAGATCCAGAATTTCTGTGCTCTTGCCAGTTGGGTTGTGTTTGTACCACAGGGCAAACTCTGGTGCCACCATTACTGACCCAGCCTGGCCACCTCTCGGCACTGGCTCCTGTAGTTGACAGCCAGCCCATCAACCGTATGGTTGTCATCAGGAGACCATTTCTGAGGAGGTTGGGGCAGGGTTGTGTGTTGTATTGGATGGAGGGGGTATCGTTTTACAGCTCTGTCTGAAGCCAAATATAACTCTTAAAAAGAGCACAAGCTCATCAGATGTTAAATGGCAGAACAGCTGTAGGTGTCATAGCTTTTGGCTTTCAACTGAACATATGGCATAAAACTGGTGTAGCTGACTAGAAAAATCACTTTTAAATATTGACACTGCCTTTGATCTTTCTTTTTTTAGGCAGTGAATTTATTCAACTTTGAGTAACTCTATTTTGATTGGGGGAAAAAAGGAAAAAAAAACTGGATTTTTTGTTTGGTTTTTTGAGCTAAATAAAACATTAAGTTTTCTTTTTTTTTTTTTAATAAAAGTTCTCTCTTTTTTTCTGGGCCCTTGCCACTTCAGAAATTGTAAAGATTCTAGTCACTGCCAACACTATCCTATTGTGAAAATGCTTAAAGTGTCAGAAAATAAGCAACCAGAAGGATGCAACTTATTAGAGATCCTGTTTACCAACATTTAATTAATGCTGTTTCCTGAAGTAGGAAAGAATACCTTCAGTGTGGGCAGATTTCTTGGCTCTGATACCTGAGAACACACAGAGCTTTTGTTATGTCCTCCGGAGAGTTGTTCCTGCGTTGTTGCCCGAGGACAGCTCTTTCAGTGTGTGGTGGTCCATCTCTTCTGAAAAAAAAGGGCAAAACAAATGCCAAAACATTTAAAAAAAACCCATCCCAATACACAAACAGTATGACATTGAAACTTGTATGTTGGAATTCAGAAATAAATGTGTTTATCGGTCTAAATATCTGCAATTTAAACATCACCTCCAGCTCATATGTCATAATGATTGTCGTCTTCAGTAAGAAACTTTTCTAATATGTCTAAGTCATAAGGATCTTTCCCAATAGATGGCCCCTGATTTTTTTTTTTTCTCTTTGGTGGTGGGAGGAGGGAGGGAGAAGACTGTGGTTTTTGTGGAGGGGGAATTGGTTTGAATTAGGCATGATACAAACACTGAATTGAAAACTTTTGAGACAAGTCAGTCACCAGATGGTCTTTAGCATCGAGGCAGGCTTTTCTGCTAATGTACCGTGACTCTTTTAACATTGAGTTTAGACTTTAAAAATGAGAATTCTTCTGTTTAAAAGCCAGTAAGCTTTGGAATTTTAGAGTGTCAAAAATGGTACCTAATAAATTAAATTATCTGGACATTAGATTGTTAGATAGAATTCAATTTGTAGGTTCCTCATAGCTAGCATAAGCTGGGTTTGAATCTAGGGACATTACCTCACCTATTATTGCCAATATGAGTATTTTTAAGAAAGTCACTTAGTTCCTGAAACAAGGAAACACCCTTCACAATTCTAGAGCAAGAAGGATGATGCATTTCAAAGATGGTTTGAAAGGGAGAGAACATTCTGATTTCAGAGAAGGGGTAAATGGAGTAGAAGAGAAATAGCAGCTTATCTGATAACATACTTTGTCTTGCAATAGTGATTTGAATTGCTCTTAAAAGATATAGCAAGGACTTTGCAAGTAAATCTAGGTCTTCATTAAAACTGATCTTTTAACATTGTATAAATGTTTAGCTGTTTGTTTCATACCAATAAATATCCAGTGGGCATACGAATTGATCTTGCATCTGGTTGTCTTCAAAGTGAGAAACTCCAAAGCTTTTCTTCCAGGATTAGAATACCTGTCAGATGATTTGAGAGACAGAGACATAAGATCAGGCACATAACGGACAGGAAAGATAATTCATAATCCCTTTGTTTTGGACTCCTCTATGTTCTCTGCCTTTGCAGTTAATCCTCTGTTATTCTTTTAATCCTTTCTCTAGATCATCCTTTAACGTTCATAAATCTTATTTTAGTAAGTCTGAACTTGGTTGCCTCTTAATCTACTAACTGAACAACATACTGGAACATCCGCAGTAGAAGAATCAATCTGTCATGCCACATCCTGAGCACTGTACTTGCATGGTAACCTCGAAGTTATTTTAGCAGCATAAGTGCTAAAGAGCATCTATTCAAACTACCCCCAATCCCTGACAAACGTAGTAATTATTTATGTAAGAACAGTAACAGATACGGTATTCTTATACTCCATTAGAAACCAGCAGTTGATCCTATATTGTATTTTGATCCATTTATTTACCCCTTATAGTTATTTAGGTATAATCCAATTATTGTATGTCCTACAACAGTGACCTAAGCAAAAAAAAAAGTGGAGGAAAGGGTGTTCGACTTGCTTGTAGTTACTTAGCCGCAGTTAATGATGCGTATGTGCTACTTTACAAAATTCTCTGGTATGACATTATTTGATGTTATAAACATTTAAAAATTGCTTTAATGGGTTAATGGCTGAAAATTTAGTTGAGGATTAACTATGTTTCCTTTTACAAGGCTATAATTCTGAGCAGTTGTAGATACAAAAAAAAATATCCTGTAAGCTGTGCCTGTGGGCATCATTCAGTGGGACCTTACACGCAGAGACCCTAAAATTCTGTTTAACTGTTACAACATGGACCGTGCCTTTTCGAATCAGGAGGTCTTCCACAGCATTGTTAATCGTTTTTTCCTGCCCGGTTTTGAAGTGTTTTACAAACCAGCAGGGTATTGTGTCTTTTTCCTTTTCACACCAGAGGTGATGCATATCCTGTAAAAGCATAGCTTTCTCCCTAACCTTCTGCGTTGCTTACTGTAAGCCTGGCTAATCTCCTCCTAAGAGAGGGTACGGGGCCTGATTTCTGATGGAGTTTTACACTGGAATAAGTAGAACTAAGTATCTGCAGCCCGGAGTGATCTCCCAGGCTATGGTAGGGAAGGATCAGCAGCGTCGCTTCCCTGGATTTCGGGAAAGGCAGAAGGAAGAGCACTTTGTTTCCCAGGAACTAATACCTGGAATATAGAATGAATAGAGGTTTTCCCCAAAACAAAATACATATAAATAAACCTAAATAAGTCATTTTCTCTTCCCCCGCTTGAATAGTAGCATCGCTTAAAGTGCCCATTGCAGGAAAATAAATTCCATATGTGAGATTGGGAAACAGCTGACTTAAACTGCCACATTCCTTGGATGACTTTGAAAAATTTTCTTGGAAATATCACCTTCTTGTTTGCTGTTATGGGCAGTTGCATTGGAACTATTCTTACCGTGCTCTGTTGTTTGTTCCTCTCAGGAATTCCCCGGCTATGCTTCGCTCACTTTGACAGCGGTCTTCTGTCAGAGAGGCTTGGTTGCAGGCAAGGAGCAGCAGACATGTTAAAGGCAAGATGGCCAAAGACAACTTGACGGTTATCCTTAACATTGGTACAGGGAATTAGTCTGCCGTGACCAAATCACTGCATTCTCTCTAGGCCTTTAAAGCTTCCACTTGGATGGGTCGCAAGGTACAGCTGCAGCCTGTTCCTCCTCTTAGGTGGACCTAGACCTTGTTCCATTCAAGTTTCTTAATTGGATAGAACTTAGAAACTTTTAAAAAAAGCCTTTATTTCCTCCTGTTGTTGTCTGTGGCCCAATAAGAGTTACACAGAATGGCTTAACTGAGCTGCCCTTATTTTACATTTGTCGTTGTCTGGCATGCGACCGTTACCTAACGAGCAGCAATGAATGTTTTAGTGTGCCCAAATAACATAGCTCCGTGTACTGGGCTCATTACTAAAACATAAAACTTATCAGTGTCCTTGCCACATTGGTGGTGCTCTGAGATTTATGTCACGATCACCTCATTAGGAACCCTGTAAACTGTTCTGTTCGCTTAGCAAAGATGGTTTAGCATGTCCACAGTATCTTGTTTGAGCAGAAACTGTCTGGCAGTCACAAGTGGGGTTTCTAGCAGAACCAGGCCATCTCAGCAGCACAGCGAGGGAGGGCAGGCAGGCTGTCTGGGAGCGGTTGGATGTTTTAACCTCCTCACTAGGCATATTGGCCTGTAATATTTATTTAATGTTAGTAATGAGCATTTTGCTAAGGATGTGGTTGGTATATGGAAGGTAAAAGCAAGGAAGCTGTAAAGGGTTGTAGACACATTTAAACCTGAGGAATAGCATTTTCTCTAAAATGATGGGAAAGAGCAAGGACATTTTCAGGTGGGGGCAGTAGGGGAGGGCAGAAGAGGGGCAGGTACCCCGAGCTGAATGAGCAAGAGCAGTTCTGAGGATTTGTTGTTTGTATGTTCCTGTGAGAGTGTAGCTGCTGAGCTCTGTGACCTTCTAATGTCTGTGCCCCACCTCATTCACTGCATCGTGCTCTTACCATATTAATTGCTTCTTATGTTCTGGTAAGCTCTTCACGGCAGTGGCACCTCTCCTGTGTCCACCTGGCACGCTGGATCCCGCGTGTTCTGGCAATCAAATAATAGATGAACAGCTACCATCTGAATAGCCGTTATTATGCTACTGCTTTCCAGCTGTGGTGTTGCTGTGCCACTTTTAATAATTCAGAAGTGATGGAGAGGTGGGGGAGTGAAAGGGCTGCAGCGATCTTTGTTTCTCTCCGTAGCGGGAGATTCCTCCTTGGTTGCTCTGTAGTTACCACGGAAACGGGAGAGGGATGGCACAGCACCCGTGGGGCTGGAGTGGGACTTGTGGGTCAGCTCGGTGGCAGCATCTGCACAAAGGGGAAAAACCAGGGCTTGCCTTGATTTAGCTTGTGCCTTTTCACTTCTTTCCCTCAATGGTTTTGTGAAGCTTAATTGTTAAACAGGTGATGCTCCCAAATGTTGATGCCTTTGTTAAAATGGTCTTTTTATTACTTATTCTAGTAAAAATACGCAGTGTCAGAAAATGAGCATTCCTGGTGGTCTGGAGGAGTTGGGTGAGGGAGTGTAGGAATATGATCATGAAGTCTTTCACTGGTATAAACAGGAGTCCTCATTGCAGTCAGACTGTCACCACTGGAAGGTTGTTTAATGTGTTTGAAATGCACTGGCACTTTAGGGAATAGATTTACTGGAAAAGACTAAGGACCACCTCACTGATGTTTGCTCAGTGCAGCATTCTCTGGTTTGATCCAGATTGAATCTTACTTTAGTAATTACAAATACATATCCCAATCACCCCTTGCAGTAGCTGTGCCAGTGCCAGTCTCGGAAGCTCTGGAGGGAGAGGGGTACGAGAGAAGGGCAGAACCCCCCACATCTCCAGCTCCCAATGGCTGTGCGGTGCGGGCATTGCGAGGGGAAGGATGGGCGGGTGTGGTTACTCCTCTGTGTGTGTTTTAGGGCTGTATCCATCTTTAAGCTGCCTAATCTACTAGCATTAGCTGTGCCATTTGTTTTATACCTGTGTTAGGTGCTTAGATTTTCAGCAGTTATGCTGGAATTCTGAAAGAACGACTGAAAACCTCTTACCTAGGGACCAGAATGGAACTCAGTGACTGGCTTGAGAAGGATTGTTGGGCTTTTCTCTAACTACAGGCAGGAGGAGTCTTCGATTCAGTATTTCTGTCCCTCCTTTCAGTGATAGACTAGAGAAGGTTAAACAAGATTTTCTCTAAGAAGTTAGTTTGTTGGCAGCTGCCTGGCAACTGTTTGCTTGATTGCTTTAGAACGGGACCAAGACAATAAATCACCATGTAAACCCACTCTTCTTTTGAATTCCATGGCAAATAAATACTCTTTTTCCTTACCAGAGACTTCTTTTGAAGTCTGCATTCAACAATTCAACAGGAGATTTGTCACTATGGGACCAAACTATGAGGTTTAATTTCCTTCTGCCCAGTTTATGTACACAGTCGAGGTATCCCTGTAAGTGAACTTAAACTTTAAATTTATGAGCACATAATGAGGTTGTTTCCCCCAGTTACCTTTGTGAAACCTTTAGAACTAGTTCACAGACCTTCTCGTGCCCTCCATTTGCCTCCCTAGAGTCTGCAGACTCAAGGTTCAAAACCTTCAATATGGTGTATATCTACTTCAAATTTGTAATCCATGAAGCAGAGATAAGAGAAAATACTAAGCATGTCCTAGCAAAAGCTTAACCATAAGGTATACTATTTTTTCCTCCAGAATGGCAGATCCTGAAATTTATTTGCTGATGCTTTAAAACTTGGATTTGAAAAAAAAAAAAAAGGAAAAAAAAGAAAAAGAGTGCAACAACTTGGGCATGAGAAGTGATGTTCAGGAAACCCTGCTCTGAGGAGTTTCTTTCAACTTTCTCCTTGTACCTTCAAAAGGGATGCTACCCTGGTACTCACAATTCAGAGATTTAACTGGTTGTTCTTTTTTTTTTTTTCAGTTGTGGGTTTGTTGGGTGTTTTTTTTGTTTGGTCGGGTTTTTTTTAAGAAAATCAACCTTTGGAGAAGTGGGTGTTGACAGCAAAAGTAATTGCACTGATAAATAGTAGTTCAAGATGGGAGTTCTCTTCTGTTTCCTCTAGATATAGCACTGATGGACTTAGCTTTGGTCCTCTCTGAATCTGACATGCTAAATGTGCTCTTGTTAATTGAAAAATGTCTTCAATATAAACCACAAATTGCATTCAAAAGATGAGTTAGTTGTTTCTTTCTAATACACGCTCATGTGTAGCAACTGTTCTTCAGTTCCAGTTAACACCCGGAATGGAATGGAGGCCAGCACAGTGGTTCTTATCACTGTTGCTTTTGCCAAAGTTAAAAAAAGCGCTAAATTATTTCCATGGGATTCAAGGGAGTCTCTGAATTCAGAAAACATCTATTGAGCGTATGATGTAATTTTTATGAAGTCATTCTTTAGATGAGACTTGAAGTTTTGAAAAAACTGGCTTCTACTGTAAGAATAGTAAAATTGTTGTCAAATCCTAGTCTCACAGAGCTATTGGGATTAATTTCCTCTTCTGTGGTGCTGCAGTGAGCGGCTTCTTTATCCTCAAACTACAGGAAACTGCTTAGTGTTTTGTATGAGGCTCTGCAATGTGTGTGTTTTGGGGGGGGTGACATTTAAGGACATTTGCGCGTCTCCCCTCTGCCCCAGCAGCTGATGCAAAAGGAAAATATTGCAGGCTGTGGAAAAGCAGCTGAGAAGCAGCTCATGTAAAACCGTGCAGGTTTGGGAGCTGTGCAGGATCACTGGTTGACACTGGCTCAGGTTTGTGTAATCCCGGTGCACAGTAAGGGTGTCACTGCTGTGTATCCGGAGTAGAAAACGCCAGTTTTGTTGGTTTTCTAACTGACACTTTCGTCAAAGTTTTGTTTTACTTCAACTTTTAGCTGAAAATTCGTCTCTGAATCTTTCAGTTGATGAGTATGTCATTAAAAGGATGAATTTGAATAGGGCTAAAAATTTATAGTCTAAACAGAAATTACAGGAATGCTTCAACAGAACAGATTCAGCAATGGCTTTGCCCTTGCTTCTTCTCATTCTCCGGGAGTGTATCAGAAGTGCTGCATCTAATAAAACGTGGTACTCTGCCTCCTGACCCCATGTCTTTAAGCTCAGAAGCAGATTCTGTGAGTTCTCATTGCTGAGGAGTAAGCAGGCGGCATCTGAGCACTTGTAGAAATTGGCTGCAGGGTGCTAGGACTGGTTCTACCCTTTGGCTGTTGGAGTACTTCTTGGTGTCATGGGTGTGGGGGTTTTTTTTCCAAAAAGAAGCTAAAAATATGACACTTGTTTCTCCCTCCAAAAGACGTGCTAAACCTAAGCTTGCAAATCTTACTGTCTTAATTGTTTGTAAGTTGCCCTCTTTTTGTTTTAAACAGGTCAATGCTATGACAATATTTACTTGCAATAATTTGTGGAGGAAGATGTTGACTCTAATATTATACACTGTTGGGTTTGTTCCTGGTTTAGACAAAGGACAATTGTGAATATTTAGGTAAACAGAAGGGGCAGAATTGAAAAATATAGGACTTAATCCTTAGAAGACACTGGAAGAAATAGATTTTAATCTTGCATGTTAATTTTGAGTTAAGATTTTCCCCAAAAAAAGAGAACTTCACTATTAAAGCTTACTAAAAGCTTCTTTATGAGTCTCAAAAGCACTGAATTGGATTTTAAATCAAATCTTTTTTACTTAATAGAAAATACCTCATTTTGTGTAAAAACTTTATGGTTTCTGTACCAGTCTTGTCCTTTTGGTAGATTGTTTGTGTAGATATCCCAGTTTGTGTGTGTAGTAACTCGTTAGCTGTCAAAAGGATTGACCAGTCTCTTGCACAGAGAGAGTCTCAAATATTGTCAAGAAGTGGGTTTTTTTTTTTTGTAACGTTCCTAAAATCTTGATATGAATTAAATGCAGTTTCTGCTGCAAGACTTTAAGGAATACAGCTGTATTTACAGATGAGGAGAGAAGGCATTAGACAATTAAAGGCATTGTAGGGGTCTGCAGCTCATTTTGTTAGATTATAAAAGTATTTCTTCTTGCACGGATGAGGGAGTGATCCTCTGCACGACTCAGCTACCGCTTCAGCTGGTATTGGCAGGCTTTATAGGAGCGCTTTATCCCTTTGATTAGACCTTGATTGCCACTCAAGAACCAGATACAGCTTGCAGCCATCTCACTTCAACTTGTGCAAGCATATGATGAAAGAACCCAAAGATAGATGTATGAAGCATGCCCCCCCCATCCTCTGTGTTTGAAAGGCTTACTAAGGTTCATCAAAGAAAGAATCCCTTATTTTTTTTACAATTCTGAGCTTTGGTTTGCAATTGAGCGCCCCTCAGAGAGGATTTTGAAAGTTTACTTGCCTCTCTGCTATGTATTTTCAGGTGCTCTCACAGTTGGCCTTGTGCGACAGTGTCAAACCATCCATGGACGTGACAGGACCTGTATTCCTCCACGGCTGCCTCCTGAGTGGGTCACTACGTTATTTTTCATCATTATGGGAATCATTTCACTAACTGTCACATGTGGTTTGCTGGTGGCTTCCCACTGGCGAAGAGAAGCTACTAAATATGCCCGCTGGATAGCTTTCACTGGAAGTAAGTGACCTCAACTACACAGTTGACCTGTATGCAGGATAAACTGGTGGAGTCTCAAATAGCACTAGAGTGTTGTCAAGGAGCAGTGCTTAGGGCTCTTACTATACAAAGCATTCCTCTCTTTAAATACCAATCTGGGGGAAAAATAAAACTTCAAAAATCAAGGGCTTGGTATCTTAGATGACTATAACTCAGAGGGAATAATAGTCTGTGGCCCAAGGTGAGAGAAAGGAAGGCCTCTGACCCCTTTACTTTCCTTGGGCAGTGCCATTAATTGACCTAAGAAAATGAGCAGGGATAGAGGAGGTCAGTCCTGAACTGTGTGTCTGTTGGTCTTTCATACTTCCCTGCTCCCATATATCCAGGACTTATTCCTAGCAGAAAGGAATGATTGAAAATTTTCCTCCCTGAGGAAGAGGAGGCAGTTGATACATCTGAGACTTACTACAGTCTGAAATCCATCCCTACTTCAGGTGTCTCATGAATACCTCATTCAGGGTTGATGCTGGTTCATGCTCACAGCATGTGTTTTATTCAGAATATCTGCATCCTAATTGGCGATGCAGGAGGATTGCCCACTGCAGAGCATCTGCTGTGCTTCTCAGCACTGAGACTTTCGCTTCCATAAGTGACCTGCAGCAGTGCTTTAGCTGGAGGGAGCAATACTAGTGTTTTTCTGCCTCCCTGGATTCTGCTCCATATGAGCACCAGTGTAACTGCTCCCAGCCGAGCCTCCTCTGGCTGCCCTGTGTTTCCACACAGGGAAACATATCCCATGGCTACTTCAGTGCAAAAGAAAAACAGTTGTAACAAATAAGGGGAATAACTTTCAAACTTCCTTTTCTTGGTGTGTGTTACAGGCTTAGCCCAACTGTGAAATGGTGCCCTAATGGTGGGGATGACAGCATGAAAAAACTCAAAACCTGAGGGCTTTTAAATTGACTTGAATTATGACATACCACTACAGGTAGTGTGAATGCTAACTAGAAAATGCAAGTTTGTGGTTTACACAGGCATAAATAAGGTTTAATGTAACTTTGTGACGTGTAATGATATCTAATATGAATGAGATTTAACCTTGTTTTGGGGAAGGGAATAACATAAAAAAGCGCTCAGCTTCAGCAAAGGTACTTCACTGAGGCACTTGTACAATCAAAGCCATCCTTCTGACAACTTTGCTACACAGCATATAAAATTAATAGTGCAGCTCTTGCAGACAATGGGGCTATTGAAATGCTGTATCCGTTGTGATTGGCTTTTATTTATTTTCCGGTGAATGATTAAAATAGCAGACATGGGTATTATTCCATCCCAACTTTTCCAGTGCCCTTGTATATCTACACATATTTCATGTATGTATGCAGGGAGGGTTTAAACTCAAAACGCCTTATAGAATTAAGATGCTTATAGTAACCTGAAGTCAAGGCTCTAGGGTAAAGAGGGTTTTTTTGAATACTATTTATTAATAGTTGATACCACAATTTATTTACTGAGCTTTTTTTCTTAATTCAGAGCTTCTCTTTGGGGCTTTACATATCTTAATGTTGTGGTTTGTTTTGTTTTGTTTTTTTAATATCTTAAATCATCCTGTCCCTGTATCTTTAGTTTCCTACAATTGTGATGGTTAGTTCAGCCAAAAAAACAGATACCCTAAAGCTGTTTTTTTTCTGTAGATGTCTTTAGGCTTGCAACAGGTCCATTATTATAAGTCTAAATAAAGAAGGACATTCCTTTATTGCAGCACTTGCCTTTTTGTTATGAGATGTTTAATAATGAAACATACTAATTTGTTCTTTTTCAAGTTAGAATTATTCACAATTCTATTAAAATATGATTGCTACGTTAGAATTGCCAAAATTCTAAAATTCAATGTCTTCTATTCACAATTCTATTAAAATATGATTGCTATGTTGTCAAAATTCTAAAATTCAATGTCTTTGGTATTCATCTCTAATACACATGGCTCTGTGACCTTTGCATTCCTGTTAGCAATGATGATGGGAAATTTTGTTGCTTAGCTCACTTGTAAGAGAAATCACTTTTGAAAAATAAGTGAATGGGAGGCAGAGTTCTGTATTTTTAAAAAAATTGATGAGTGACTCCTGTGGTTCATTGGATGGCGACACAAATTAGTAACCTGTTTGTAGATTAGTATTAGGAAACATGTAAGCATGTGGAATCAACTGGAATACCATGACCAGATCCTTCCTGTGAAGTGCTATAAGATAAAAATGTGTGTGCCTGGGGAGAGAGAGCAGGGAAAACTTCATAGTTGCATTGCATCTCTTCTGCGAGCAACTTCAAGACTCAGCAGCCTAGTACAGGTGCTAGCAGATGACTCCAGATTTTTTCAGCCATGTACCTATAAATCTGAATTACTGCTGAAAGTGGTCTTGTCTGTCTTGTTTAGCCAAGGGACCCATGAAGGACAAAAGTTTGATCTGTCAGTTCTCTTTCCTGTGAAGTGATAGACCGAGAGAATATTTACTAGCACAGCATTTGCATCCTTCCCCAACTGTTATTTTACTTCACTTGTCTTTCTGGCTTCTCTGCAAAACAGCTTTGTGGAAAGGATAGGTATTTCCTTCCTCCAAGTCATACTGCAGGAGTGACACAGGTCTTCTGAAGGCAAATGTGAAAGTTCTCCTTCACTTTCTGTAGTCTTTCAAGCATTACAGTATTCTTACTGATGTGATAGGAGTGGTCACTTTGGGCATAGATACTATCAAAGCTATCACTGATATTTGAGTCCTGCTACCAGTATGGAATGGCATACCAATGGAGTGAAGAGTGGATTCCTTCTTGGTGTGTGTTTGTGCATGGCCCAGGTGCTTGTGAGCTTCGTCAATGAACTCATAGCCGTGCCTCGTGTGTCCATGGCAGCCAAAGATCTGAGCAGCTGTTCCTTTCTATGGTGATATTTACTGGTTGCTCAAGTGTGACCTAACCACCTACTACCATCCCAGCTTCTACACTGCTTCATCACTAATTATGCCCTGTGACTTGTGGCTTGGTGGCATAGGTTGGTAGCAAAAAAGCAACCCAGCTTTGGTATTGTTCCGTGTGCCTCTGAAATTGCTCTTTTTTTGCGAGCCCTACTTTGAATTTATGTAAACCTTTTGCCTTTTCAGGGTGCTCGTTATGCCATCTTCTGGTTTAGAAGATAGGATGTGGTGAACCTATGGTAAATCTCAATCGTAATGTCCATGGTCCTTAGGACAGATACAGCTAGGTTCCATAATTAGAAATGATGTCCAGAGCTCATTCTCTGCAGAGGCTGCCTAGGTGATCTTATGTATATTATAACTATCCTGGCTATTGCAGGAATTCACAGAGCTCCTACAGGATCTGTTTACATCTTACATGGATTCAGGTCTCTTACCATCTGCTACAGCTAGAAAGAGAATTAGTTCTGTGTCTATTACCACTGAATTGGGTGCTTCTCTGAGATGTACCCAGGGAGGAGATGCTGGACAGAAAAATCATAGTTCTGCCTTTTTTCCAGCAGTTACTAGAGAGGTTGTTATTCTTTTTGCCTCAGGATTTAAATGTTCATGAGTATAATGGACTTGTTTTTTGGAATGCAAGTAAAAATGAGGCAGGATAATCACATTCTTAACTACCAGCAGCTACCCTGCAAACGTCTGTCCCTGCTGTTCCACAGTGAATAAAGTGCTTATTGCGTTATTAGAGATTTGTACCAGGTGCTGCTTTCTGTCTTGTGGGTCTCTGAAGAGGCAAGTGGTTACTAACAATGAGCCCTCTGAAGACTTGACCATAGCTTGTTCCTTCTTTTAATGCACTGCATGCTGGATTTTTTGAAGCTGTCGTTGGATGCTCAAAACAATTTCAAGCTAAATAATTGCAGGAACTAGACTTTTTTTGACAGCCACCATCCAGAAGCAGACTAGAAATGATTGTGTTTTGTTACCGAAATAGTTTTGTTTGCAGATATTGTAGTCATTAAGTGTCCTTTCTGAAAATTTTCCTACCCAAGGAAGAATTTGAAATCAAAAGCAAGTTGTCTTGAGGGATAAGTTCTTTATGGGCTGCTGGAAATGTTGCTGAAAATTCATTGAGTTGATACTACTAGATAGGGAGAGTTACATTTGGGTTACAGCTTGTATAAGAAATTCCTATCCTCCAGCTTACAAATCTCTTTCTAAAAGAATATGCACTAAGTTAACTGAGCACTTCATATATTGGATTTTCTCCTTAGTTTCTTCTTTTTTTAAAATAAATTTATTATGCAGTCTTTTCTTAATGACTTCTCAAAACTTTGCCATAATTCAGGCTTCCGAATCTGACAGAGACTTTGATGAATCTGTTTTTCATTTGCTATTTCAGTAGACTAAAAATTCAGACCACACTAAGAAAAATTGCTTGGACACCCTGACAGCAGCACGTGTGCAGTGTGTGTGTGTGCACGGTGGAAAAGAATGGCTGGTTAATTCTGTGGTAGATGTTTGAAATGCATGTGCATGTCAGCACTCCGCCTGCACATGCAGTATTTATTTTTTTCTCCTGCTGTGAATGGAGGTAGAGCTGAGGTACCTGCACCCTTCTGTCCTGGGGTAGAAGCACAAGAAGATGGGGGGCTCACACTCCTGTTGACGTGCACAGTGCCGCTGGGAGGTCTCACGCCTGGGAGCACTGGGGCGTGTATGCACAGCACACCTCAAAGAACAGCAGTGTAGTAGAGAGGGATAAAGATCTATTCTTCAACCATATCCATGAGGCCATCAGAACTTTTCCAGCTGTGTAGTTCTGGAATGTAATAAAGGAGATTTAATCTTGAAAGTGCAGGTTGTTTTCAGAATCCTAAAGCTATTTCCTAGAAGTGAGTTATTGTTAAAATATAATAGAAGGCTTGTAAATAACTGGAATGCTCATCAGGGACAAATGGGATGTAATAGGAAGTGTGCTGAGTTGTGATAATGTGACTCATCCTCAGAATGTTGTTCAAACTGTTACTAGTTGTATGTTGTGTTACTGATCACACATCAACCAGTGCTTTCTGGCCCACTCCAGTGGAGAGCCCTTCCGTGCTTGCACGGATCTGCTCAAGAAACACATACCCGAGCTTTCTCTCCTCGGACAGACCAGCTGTTGGCTAAGATACAACTAAATAAAGGGAAACATTCTTTAGGGATTAGATTGCATAGCGTGAAATTACATGGAGCAATAATGATGTAGATTAAAACCTTCTAGATTATTTAATGTTTAACGTTTGGTTGCTGGTTCTTTGGTTGTGTTGTAGTAGATGGCCTAAGGAGGTAGCGTTGAGCAAGAATGTAGTAACTATGCAGTTGCCAGATGTTTTTTGTTTGTGCTCTTTTTCTTCCCCTTGAGAAACTATCTGGTGCTGTTACATTAAAGTGAGAGACGAGCTCCCTCCAGTGGAACACTTGATTTTTTTATTTTTTTTTTTGTCCTGCTCAGTTTTGGCAGCTGCTCTTGACTCAAGGAGTATGAAAACTGCTTCATGTGTTTGGGAATGTGGTGATGTTCTGATGTGGGTCATAGTTCATGGAAATGCCCATTTCTGGTTATACCCAAGTTCTACTTGGATACTTTTTGGATTCAGATTCATCATACTGATAACTAGTCTTTTCTACAGAACATGAGTGGCTTTTCCTCAAAGCTGAGACCTGTACTGTGCAGATCATAACCTTTGAGCATTAAGATACAAAATATGTGATAAACTATTTGTCTTGACTAAAACATGGAGTCCGTTTGAAAAAAAAAACAATTTAAGTATAGGCATGTGACACTGTAGCTGGACAAAGTAGAGTGTGTTTTTAGTCAGGAAAAATAATAGTGAAGTTACATTAAAAAATATTGAGGCTGCTCCAGCCCCTCATTTCCTCCTCTGGAAAGACTGGAGACACTGTCCTGGTAAGGCCAGAGGCTACAGGCGACCACTTCAATTTGTTTTAGGTGCCTTTGGAAAGAGAAGCAGCTGCAGCACTGCTGACAAGGGAGTAGGATGTTCTCTCCTGGATTTGACCAGAGAACCGAAACGTGCTGTGGGGAATGTTGACCACTGTTGGTACCTAAGGCCTGTGAAGTCCATAATGTAATTCTAATGGATGGCTTTAGTGGGAATTCTGGTTTCCTTTTTGTACTTCCACAAGTTGTAAGCACGAACCATGTACATAAGTCTTAACTGTTGAGGTGAAATAAAAAGCCTCATTTCTTGGTTCTCTTTGCTCATGGAGACTGAATTTGAAGTTTTTCACCAAGAAGCTTAGATTTAACTTCATCTGAAAACTTTCTTTGTATTCCAAGGGAAAATCTTAAGGATAATTCATTACTTAAGGAATCGCTCATATAACTTCAGGAAACTTAATCTAAGAGAATCTGTAATGATGATCTATGTGTTTTCTATTTTTAGCAAAACTTTTACAGAAAAGGAGTTTATGTGGAAGAATGGGAGAGGGCAACTCCAGTTGGACATAAACAACTCCAATAACAGAAAAGGAGTTTCTTCAATGTTGAACGTTAGTTTATCTTGACTTTGGGGAAAAGCAACTCTAAAATAACTGGAGAAGTGATGAACTCTGTGACTAATCTTGTGGATGGTGGTAGAAGTACGTTCCCCAAATTTTTATTCTGTAAAGACAGTTCATGATCTAGTGAGCAGGACTGAAATGACAATCGAAATGGGGATCTTTCAGTCGTTTTGGGAGTAGATGAGGAAAGTGTTAAAAGCAAGGTAAAACCTACTCGGTCATTTCAAGAGAGTTAGCTACTGGATTATCTCAGCTCTTTAGTTTGGTCAGAATATTGTGCTTGCTTTTTCTGGACTGCTTTATGAACTGGTAAATATTTTGACTTCAACACAGCAGTGACCATTTTTTTCTTTTCTCTTTTCTTTGCAGTGATTCTATTCTGTATGGCAGCCCTAATATTTCCAATAGGATTTTACATCAATGAAGTTGGAGGTCAACCCTATAAATTACCCAATAACACAGTGGTTGGGTCTTCGTATGTACTGTTTGTCTTATCCATATTCTTTACAATAGTGGGACTTCTATTTGCTGGCAAAGTTTGTTTACCTGGCTGATGAATGTCTGAACTGGAGGACTTTATTTTGGAAAAGAGCAAGACGTCAGAATTGCATTCTCAGGAGGATGCCTAGATCAGACTATCAAACACTTACTGAAAAGAGGAATGCTTTGACTTGTTCTCACTATGCACTTTGGATGAAAAAAAGGAGAGCCTTTCCCATAACCAAATACAGACAGCGTTGACTAATCTCCTGAGCATATTTAATGCAGTCAGGTCTGCACTGTGATAGGAACTAGTGAAGAATGCTTTACACTGAGAAGCATAATGCCCCATGTTACTGTACTGTTCCTGTTTTTAACGTCTAACGATTTGGAAGTCAAAGTATTTATGAACTTTGTGGTAGTCCAGAGGGTTGCAGAGGAATTCAAGTGAGGCTGGCCTCGCTGTTTAGGAGATTAGTATTTTACATCTTCCTTCTGATGAGCAAAGCCTTTGGCACCAATGTGGATCAATCTTGCATTACTGCACCAAGAAGCCAATAGATCAAAACATGTTCTCTAAATGTATGTAACAGCAAGAAGACATACATCCCCTCCTCCCCCGTAAGCTCTAGAAAAACACTAAGGAACATTTTAGAGGGGGATTTCTTCCTTATATTTATATAAATATATATATATAAATATATATATATTTTGCTGATGCAGTATACAGTGTGTGTGTATGTGTGTGTGTGTATATACACATATATGTATATATATGTATATACACACAAATGGTTCCTGGAAAAGAACTCAGAACGCTTTGCTAGCAAAACACTGTGGTGTGCAAAACTAGAACTCAATAGAAAAAAGCCATTTCTCTGAAGGCCACATAGCTGAGAGTCTTCAGTTTACCTCATTCTTTGTAGCAGCCCTTGATTTTAACAGTTTTTGTAATAGGTACAAACGATCCCATGCCTTTCTAGGTGCAATTTTAAGTTAAGCTAAAATTCTTTTTATGGTAATTTATTTGTATATGAGGGTAGAAGGTGAGATCATGTCATACCTTAAAGTTAAAATCCTAATTTTGGGAAACTGACACTATTTAAATTATTAGCAACTGTTGTACAGAAAGTCTCTTTTTCTACTGCATTGTTACATGAGCATTCGTACATGTTCAAGCACAGCATTTTACCATAGGTAAGCACTTCTCTAGCACATGTAAAATGCAACGTTTAAAGTAATGCAAACACTATTCCACTGCAAAGATGGATTATTTTTTTTTCCCATTTTAATTATTAATTCATCTTTACAAAAAAAGAGCAATATAATTGTTTAAATAATATATGCCTTGTTTACTAAATTTGTTACTTTAAATGTGGATTAAGGGCCACCCAAATTTGAGTAAATATTCCTCACTAAAGGTAGTTTTATTTTTCAACACAAGGATAAACCTTTGAATCCATAGACATCTTAATTCACTACTCAGTCTAACCTTGCAGAAAGTACAATTCAGTGTTCCAGGAAAGCTGCCTGCCCTATCAGTATTTATTTTCTAGTTAATACATGGTTTACCTGAGATTCATTAAGAAAACAAAAAAAAATGCTATATTTCAAGTGCTGTTTCATTGAGCTTATTAGAAGAACTGCATTACTGAATAGACATTTTTCTAAAATGTTAGTGAAAGTGTATTTTAGAATGAGGTTGTTGGTAAAATACAATCAGCAGTTTCCAGAATCATCACTTATCTGATAAGCTTAAGTGTTTGAAAATAAGACAGTTTGCACAATTCTTTTAAACCATGTGCCATTCAGACCCCAGTGAGTCCCTGTGCTCCTCCTCCACCTCTTCCCTCTTCCTCTCCCAAGGTATTATAAAACAAAAAGATTATTTGCTGAATTACGTATTTTTTCTTTTGGCATTTTTGAACAAACTGGTCACTGGAATGGTCTATAAACAACTTTTCTTCCAGTCAGCTCACTCACAGGTAGAAGGGATCACTACATTTTTCTTAAGTGCACTAATCTGTAAATACAGCCAGGCACCTACATGGAAGTAATGGTTTAAGTATAATTTGGTTCCTAATTTAAGCCTTTTTAAGTCCCCAGTGATGTTGGTGGAGACAAAATGCAAGGTTCAGCTGCTGGATGTGTGTCTGAATTTTGGTGTTATCACTGCTGTATCCTAAGCTGAAGTATTCACTAAAACTTAGGTCATAAATTATGTTAAAAAAAAAGTTTAAATTTTTTTCAGAAATGTCACTCTTGTAAATAGTTCTAAGAGATTTTTGTAACTGGAACATGGGTGGGGAGGAGAGTTTCTCAGCTGCTAAGATTTCTCGCTCCCCAGCGTACTTATTTCAGTTATAGTGACATCATGTATGCATTTAGGCTTAAATTAAATGGATCATCATTTAATAAAAAAGTATAAACCCTTATCTTGGAGCATACCCAGACCGTGGCTGCCTGGCTGGAAACTTATCTGATTTGCCAGTGCTATTGCTATGAATTATGAAATGATAGCAGAGATTTAACGAGTAGATTGTTTGATTAAATATTTGAGCATTGAGAAGTAGATGCAGCCATCTGCATTTAAAAAAAACCCTACCCAGTAATTGAAGAGACAGCCGTCAACAGTTGCTTTTAATAAGGTCACTAAGTACTATATAGTACAGTATTAATTTATAGCAGAAAATCATATCTTGTAAACTGTATATAAAACACTGTTTTATGGTGCAATCATTTGTCAAACTTATGTCTGTTACTTTTGTTTTAAAGTTGTGTGCATTCTTTTCATACCTAAGAGCATCACTGTAAAATCTGCTGAAGACTATTTATAGGTTTTATTTGCACAAGGTTTTGTTTTAAACTACAGGAAGTTCGTACTGAACATGCCTAAACATCTGTAGACTTTTTCAGTTCATGAAAAGCAAATGTTTTCATATGAATCTTCTCCAAAGGTAATCCCATATTTGTGTTGAGTGTTTACATAAACTTTTCTGATTCTGCCAGCCATTATTTTTAACTTTTTGAAGGACAGCTCATTTCATGCGCCACTAGAGGTTCTTATTTAGTCTTTTGCTTCAAAATTCGCCCCAAAGGTTTAATGTCCCACCCTAATGTAATTTGGGCACACTTTGTCATTTATTTGGTGAACAAAATGTAAGATCGGAAACTTAAAATACCTTACAAAAACTAGTTAATTTGTCTGTATAAATCTTACCGTTGAGCTCAGCTGAAAGAAGCACCTGGAAGCTGTTTGTCTCCGACCTGGGGAGGGTGTCCTTCCCTGAAGGCTACAGTCTCACCGTTTAACATGTTTTTTCGGTGTTAATCTTGCTGGCGAGCGATGGCAGTCTCCCGGAGAGGCTGTCAGTGAGCATCACCACCTCAGCCCCGGCCTCCTCTTGGGCCTGTGCTTCAGAGCCGGTGTTTAACCACTTGAGAACACAACTGTAGATTACTGTTTGCCCTGACACACACACACGCGCGCGTGCACGCACACACACAGAGAAAGCTGTCCTTTAAAACCTTTGTGAAGGATGAAAATAATGAAGGAAATGGTGTCTGCAAGCGGGTTGTCCTGCCTGGGCGTCGCGTCACTCCCCGCTTGAGGCCTGACCGTCTGCGTCCCCCACCCCGGCCTTTACTGAGGATTGTTTTCTAATTGGTTAGAACATTTTTCAATTAATGATTTCCGAACAAATGTTAATACAAACTGTATAAAATGAACATAATTTTCTTCACTTGTATTTTTGTTATTGAGCAAGTTTATCAAAATAAATTGTCTACTAAAGCGACTGGCCCCGGCTGCCCTGACTGGAAAGGGTCGGTGAGTGCCAGGAGGTGCCGTGGCCTGTGGGGGCCTTGGGGATCCCTGTCACCTCGTCACCCTGTCACCCCATCACCCTGGGATCAGGATGTGCCCAGGCTGGGGGGAGGGAGGATGGGGAAGCCTTTTCCCTGCTCAGGTGAGTCTCTGGGGAGGGGATGGCGCAGGGTCATGGGCTGAGGGGCCTTTCCCTGTGAGGTGAGGAGGGTCTCTGGGGTTGGGACACTGTGGGGAGCCGAAGGGCACAGGGAGCTGGGTGAGAAGCCCAGCAAAGTGAAAAGGAGGGTTTTATGATCATTTTGGGCTCTGGTTTTATTGCCTAGATGCGAGGGGCAGCTCACCTACACGCCTCCATCCCCTGTCTCACTGCCTGGCTGTCTCTCCTGCTCCTGCCACGGCTCACACTCAGCCCTGCAGCTCCGGGCTTTGCTTTGGTTAATCTTCGTCTCCCAGCAGCTGTACATACCTGTAATCATGGCATAAAATCCCTTAACAAGTAACCTGCAGAACAATTCCTAAATGTTTTCTTTGATGGATAATTGCAACTTCTCTTTGCAGTTATTTTTTAATTTGCTGTTGTCCCACATGCAATGTAATTATCATATAATTGCTGACAATATTAATACCTTTTTTAATAGCGTATTTTGCTGAGGACTTAACCCTTTAACTGTAATACTTTGTCTTTTCTCTTTTTTTAACAAGGCTCAGTCCATTCATGTATTGGATGCGCACATCAGGAAAATGGCACAGTTGTTGGACAATGATCAGGTTTTGGAGACAGCTGGGTAAGGTTATTGTTACAAACTTCTTGTTGGGACTCCATACATAGAGTAAGTAACTGTAGCTCACATAAACTACATACTATGTCGCTTCAAAATATTTGTAATGTGTAAACATACGTCAAGGTATAAAGGAGTTCCTACATAAAAAAATTGTAAAGACTTTATGATGATACAGAAATATTATGGGTAATGAAGTCATCCCATAAAACTCATTGTCTTGTAGGGTGACCATGAAATCCAGTCTACGGGGTGATCATGCACCATGGCAAGATTTTTACTGTATCTGATATAGGACCACATGATGGATTGCTTGTAATGTATATCGACAAGACACAGGACCTGCTGGTAGACAAGTTTTCCTGCTAAATGGAGCAAATGGAAAAGTAACACATACCTACTATAAATACAGAGTGGGGAACAAATAAGCTGATAGACAACCAATGTTTCCTTACGTATATTTGCATTACACACAGAGAATTTCACTAAAGTCGTGAAACTACATGTAGTTTCTTTGCAGAGATGAATCAGTCTGTGAACAAATCAGGCAAAACAATAAACGTAGATCAGCTGTTGATGCTGCATTTTACTTTAGAAAAGCAGAAAACAATATATACCCCTTCAAACTCTGTGAGCTGGGTTTTGGAGATGCTTAATTTTTCTTCCTCTCTGGTAAATCACTGGGGTATTTATTTTATTTCTTCTTTTACTAAGCTGTCCTATTTCTTGTCTTCCTTCCTGTCTCCTCCAAACTAAGCTCTCCTTCCCCTTCCTTTTAGCTCAATCTGAGTGTATTCTGAAACCTTTTCCTTTGCATTCCACATCCAAAAAGAGTATGCCAGTACCTAAAATAACTTTGTTCTTGGATATGAACTGCCTACCAGCAGCCATCCTTGGGAGTTATATTTTTGTCACATTTGAACAGCACATTTCATTTCTCATACTGCATTTAATTTTTTCTTATTTGATCCATAGAAGTACAAATGAAGAAAATACAGTCTAAAAAGATGCAAACCATGGAAGAATGGCTAAGAAACTACAGTTCAGAATCTTTGCAATTAACATCAGAACATCTGACAAATGAAGGCAATATTATTTTGTAATTTTAACACTGCCCTTTAGTCAGTCCTAATTTGTGTGCATCTCTGGTGCTAATTATGCAAAGTGTTCCAGGAATTCAAGAAATGGTGTTGAAGAGATAGAGTTTACTGAAGAGACTGTTACCAACTTTCAGGCCAAACTTTCTGAGTAAGTAGCCATTGTGTTTATTATTTTGATGTGTAACTGATTGTTTATCCTCATCCCTGAGGACTACAGGTACTGCCTTATATACCTCTGGGAACTTGGGAGTATCTCAGCATTAAATCCTTTATGCTGAGATTTTGGGTAGGTGATAGATAATTATATGTCACTACAGCTGAAGTTTTTAAATTTTATTTTTTTTTTTTAATGAAGATGCCTGTCACCCAGGTTTTGAACTGAAGCAGTTGCCTCCTTTTAGAAAGGCAGTGAGTGGACAGTTGGGTTTTCACAGGTAATACTCTGTATTTGTGGGTTAACGTTTACTGTGACTTGGATTAGTTTCAAGTCACGGATCTAGTCATGACATTTGGAAGTTAAAAGTTTTCTAATTTTAAATGTATAAAATCAAGGAAGCTTAAATTGAGGAAAATATTTAATGAATAGGCTCAATTAGCTGAAGAGTTATCATAATGTTTTTGCTGCCCTTCACAATACTCGTTAGACTGTCTGTAGGCACGCTGTTCCTTAGCACGCTCTCACCACCTGGGGCACACCAGAACAGAAGCAGGGGCCACCAGGTGCCTCAAACGTCCTCAAAAATCTGAGGCCATCTGAAAGTAAATGGGGACCTCATGGTGGGTGCTGCAGGGCAAGGGCAAGGCCTGGGGGTGTACGGGGAAGGCAAGTGGATGGCCAAAAGGCATGAGGTGCTGCAGCTTTGTCACCAAGCTACGTGGGAGTAAGTCATCATGTGCATCTGTCTGTCCCTTCCACCTTGATGGGATTGTTCCATCCACACTGTCCTCACCCTCATTATTGAATTTCTTGTGCAAGGCCAGCATTACTTTTTAGTAACCTGCTTTAATTTACTTGCCTGGCAGGATGTGCAGTGTCTGCTGGGGAAAACAAAAAGTCTGGAAAAGTCTTGGGCATTATGACAGGACAAGAAGCTCCAGAAACCCTTGGTGCATCCACATCCTCACTCCTGTATGCTGGCACATTCCCTGCATCTGATGAAGGTACAAAGCTGCCATCTTGTGTAAGGTGAGTCTAAATTGGCTGCAGTTTCTAACATCCCTGACACTGGAGGATCCAAGAGGCAGGGACTGTAGAAAGAAGACTTGTGTGCTCCTCCTAAATGGCATCTCCTGTTGCCACTGTCAGGGACAGAACAGTGATATAGACTTAGAATGATGGCTCCAGCCCAGTAGGACACTTTGTATGTTCTTAGGACATCGTACAGAGAAGAATGGAATGGAAAAGTGATTAAGTTTTAATTACTTTGATAGCCTCTGTCTTGTAGACTGTTCTGCTGAATCCGTTTCTTTCTATCACAGTTAGAGCTCTTTCTCCTCAGAACCAGTAAACGCCAATCCCAGTGGTTGAAACCCTGAAATGATTGGGATTGCCATAATTAGATTGCAGATGAAAACATATCTGTAATTTTTTGAGTCTCTAAACACAGTATAGCTCAGAAATAAAGATCAAAATTTTATTTCCATGTTGGTAATAAAAATAATTCCATGACTTCTGTAAACCATTGCATAAACGCTATAGTGTAGAAAAGTTTTAACAAGTGTTAACAATTTTAAACAGTTCACTACAAGTAAATGAGTATGCATTATAAATAATATGTTTTGTATTAAGAACAATTTCATTCACAAAATCATTTCTGTCTGTACACTCAAAACATTAACGGCTTCCATAAATTAATATGAGTAAAAATTCTGTATTTATTTAGGGTCTGATGATGACCGCAGTTACACAAGCATAGTGTGACAGTAATAATAGTACTACCTATATTTAATACTAGGATACTCTGAATGGCAATATAGAACAAAACAAGTATGTCCTTAATAATCTGATATCCAAAGAAGACTAATAATAAGCCTAGAACATGCAGTTTGGGATCTATCTGTAATTAGCGTACTTCCGGTTAAATTACAGCTCCTAATTGTAAAAACCCTGAGAAATGACAATTTTAATCTATTATTCCCCAGGCTAAAATAATTGTGACAACATAATGGCATTCACATTAAAAATTATATTCTTACATAAATTAACACAGAACTTTGTCAAATACCAAAATGAATCTTGAAAATCTATTTAGTTTGCTTTTATGTATTTTGTGACTTCAGCAAATTACCACACAGTAAGTCTTGCTAAAATATAATATTAAGGTATCCAGTTTCTAGACAGTGTATATAGCACAAGGACGAATACTCACAGAGGTCAGCTTTCACTTCTGACTCCTCCCAAACAGTCGTCTCCAGTCAACTGCATGTATTTTACTGTCCTCCATTGTAAAGTACTGGTGTAAAAGTAGGTATTTATTTGTAGTTGCAGTTGACTTGCTTTAATAAGATACAGAAAACCTGCTTGTGATTCCTCACAAAAAGAATTTTGTGAAGAACAACTGCATTATTTTCCTATGACTGCTGTGTGTGATGATGGTTCAAGTGATTACCTAAGGATTTGTCTGTAATTATAGCAAGCTGCCCAGTCCCAGAATTTCACCCCTAGGTCTGTTTCTTTGGTATGTGCTTTTCCTTCTCCACAAAAGGGTTTGTTGATAGTTTTTAAATGTGTCTGTAATTCAGCACCAAAGAAACTTACAGAGATCACCTGCAAAATTTTCAGTACTGATATTTCTATAGGACACACGTCATTATTTTCAAGATCCATCACTGTAAAACACAAAACGTACAACTTTTAAAAGCAACAGACTAAACATATTAGTTTATTTCCTAGAAAAATGCAGCACATATAAACTATGAATGTCAATGTGACAATTCACACCGCAAGTGCTGTTTACATTCCTTTGTTGTTGGTGTCACGAGATTAGGAAAATCGCCTGTTACTACAATTAAAAAAATAGCCCTAGGACACAGGCAAGTGCGCTAAAGTACACATGAAGAACTATAACCTTTGACAAGACGGCACAAAACCACGCTTCCGTATCTCACGGGTAACAAATGTCATGGAGCTGCATATGGGCAGCACCGTGTTGCCTAAGCTGGTTTCTCCTAAAATACCAAAGCAAAAATTTTCACTAAGATATTTCTAACCATTTTTGTGAGCACAATGGTCACAGAATTCTGTTCCACACTAGATAAATATTAGTCAACCAGTGTCCAAAGTAACTGCTTGTTTGAAAAATACTGTAACATAATTTCAAACTCTAATTACACATTATTCTTTCATTTGCTCACTGTTTAAAAAAAAAAAAAAACAACAAAAAACCCTTACGTAGCTAAGTTTGCTTTAGTCCAAAATGCTGTTAAGGTTCCAAAAAAATCAGTCTTTGTCCTAGACTGCACAGATGCAAAAAAATACATTAATACCTACAGCCAAACTTGGTGATCCAAGTTCCTTTTTAAAAAAGTCCAAAGCTGGCTATATGTTTTAAATGGCAGTATCTTATTTTAGGACAGAAAAGTGTGTTTGCAAATGCAAATACAGTCCAATCTTAGTACAAACTTTTTAGAGAAACTGTGTTAAAGTGAACAAAATCACATTATTAAACCCAGCTTTGGTCTTTAAAGTGATCTTTAGTCAAAATTTTGAAATAGAAGCAAGTACAAATGTATTAAGTATTTTATCCTAGTTCTCCCTTCCCAAAAGGTCTCCAACCTTCCTCTAGATTGACATGTCTTAGGAAAGCAGCAACAAATCTGTACATTTAGCAGAAAACCATTGCACGTTTCTGTGAGAACTAACTCAAGCCTCTTTACAAAGAATGCTAAAACCCAAAGGAAATAAGTGATTTCAGTACTATTGGCTTGGGCCCTTTATTTAATGCTGACACAGTTCTAAATTTTGTCTATTTTGACAACAGTAACTTCACTGTCCATCTTGGGACTGAACTTTAAGAAGATGAACTCTTTGCTGCCCGAGTGAGCTCACTCCTGTGCTGAGTACAGCAATAGGGAGACGCAAATCATGTAACACAGTAGGAGGTCATTTCAATTGAAGTTGTACTAGGCTCATGCCTGAAGTTAACAGGAGTAATGCAGGCAATTATTCCAGGTAAGAAAAGTAAAAATATACAGTGTTAACATGCAGTAATTAACCTCTCCTCCTGAATTGCATGTTCCCAACTAACTACCAGGATGAAGTAAGGATATTTCCACCTTTTAAAAGAACACTGTGTCAAAGTGCCACTGCCTGATTTCATACTTAAATAATTTTGTAGCTCCTTTCAAGCATGCATTACTTCATTCCTGAAAAAAAAGTGTATTTTTAAATATTTATAAAAGCAAGAGATGTATTCTAGTTATTGTCAAATTGTTCAATACAAAATTAAGCAATAGAAATTATTTGCAAAATTCTTTTTTTTGTCTTCTGCCATTTTATAGGATATTGGGCATAGGCACTTGGTAATATTATATATATCATATCTGCTCCCAATGAGTACCACACAGGTTAGGAGATGTACAAAAACTTTAAGACTACAAACATCCAAACTGAGGGAAATACGCAAATGCACAGTTATTTACTAAAACTGATCTGTTTCACAAAATTGAAAACATTGAAATTTGAATATGAAAGCATATATGCCTCACTGGTTTTGTCTCTGCTGGTACATTTATAAATACTACAGTAACAGTTAACTTATAAATTGTAAAAAAACTAGGTAAATTGTCATTTCTATTTAATCATATTGTGATTTAACAGTAAAACCATGTGAAATATTTTAAATTCACAGTACACATATAACACATCATATTATTGCATATTAAAAAATAAACATAAGACCTAGAAAGCAGCTTGAAGCAATTTACAACATATCTTCTAACAAAACACAATAATTAAAAAGTGCTTTTATATTAATCAAGAGTTTTTCCAAACATCCAAGTAAACATAGTGTTAGACCGATTCCAAAATACTGGCTCTGGCGTTCCACACACACCGGACGTGGCCACGGGGCCGTTTGTCCTCAAGTGTGGAGGTACTGCAGCTACGCATCCATCTTCTGTTAATGAAAATAACAGGTATAAACACTTCATTCAGGCATTATGGTAAGATTTATACAAAGTGATTACAGTGCAAATGAACCTAAGTAGCTTGTGCACTAGGAATGTAGGTGGAAGTCAGAAAAGGCTGCGATGGGATTGGGGGGGAATGAAAGAACCTTGAGACTACAGAACCTCAGCAAATGACTGAAGTTGATATGTAGAGGTGAACAAGCCTTATTCTCTTATCTTAAAGCAACTAAGTTTCTCACATCAAAATGGAAATCAGTCTAGCACTATTAAATGGATTAATTATGAGGGATATAATTCTTATACAAAATACAAACCCATAAAATTATTTAATTCATGAACGTGATATGAATACTATGCCTGTATGTTACCACAGATTATTTTTTTTCTTGCAGCAGGGACATTCTTCTTGTGCAGCTGCACAGTGATCACAGAGTACATAGTGTTGACATGGATTCAGGATAATGCTACGATCACCTTCCTGACACACGATACACTTCTTTGACTGTAGCTGAAAAATCACCTGTAAAAAGATTATTGCACTCAGTAAAAACTATTCCAAAAATACACAGTTGCATTCTAGCAGATTTACGTCTAGCTGTTTGAAATAAACTTCTAATTTAGCAATACAAAGGACAGTGGTTTTGTATGACAGTGTTGTGGTTTAACTGGGCACCCGGCAACTAAGACCTGGTAGGGAGAAGAGGGAGGAAAAAGAGAAAAAACTTGTGAGTTGAGATAAAGACAGTTTAATAGAAGAGTAATGGAAGAAATAATAATTAATTAATAATAAATAATAATGGACTATAGTGATGCAATAAGAAGTGGAGCAGTGTATGGTCATTATTATCTGCCTTGGTGTGCTCAGAGGAGTGACACCTGAGTTCCAGCTCTAAGAGCCCTGAGAAATGCCCTCCCTCTGGCAGCAAAAGAGCATCCTCAATTTTGGCAGAAACTCTGAGTCTGGATTTGAGAGAAGGTGAAGAACAGCAATTATCACCCAAAGGTGATTCAGGGACTGAAGCATCTGACATAGGAGGAGAGGCTGAAAGAGCTGGGATCGTTTAGCCTTGAGAAGAGATGACATCTTACTGGTGTGTATGAATACCTGATGGGAGGGAGTAGGACAGAGTCTTCTCGGAGGTATCCGGTGAAAGAGGCAAAGGGCACAAATTAAAATACAGAAAATTCTACATAGACATAAGAAAAAAAACTTTTCTTACTGTGAGGATGGTCAAACACTGGAAAAGGTTTCCCACAGAGGTGGTGGACTCTCCGTGCTTGGAAATACTTAAAGCACTAATGGGCAAGGCCCTGAGCCACCTGCTTGAGCTGACCCTGCTTTGCACAGGGGGTTGGACTGGATGATCTCCAGAGGACCCTTCTGATGTTAACTACTCTGTGCTCCAAGTCTGTACTGGCCTCTCTGACTACACAAACTCCTAGCAGGGAACCTCACCATCTATCTTCTAAACAAGTGAAAGGCATGTATCTGTTTTCATTTATTTAGGTAGTGCCCAAAACATTGGGGGTAAAAGCTGGCTTTAAATATGTTTTTTTTCAATTCCTCCAAGAAGTCTTGTGAATCACCTGTAATTTGTTCCAATAGCTGATCAGAAACTTAGAAGAATCCATTAGGCTGAGAAACCTGACCCATCCTCTAGTCCAGAAATGAAAGACTTAACACTCTGAAATGAAACCTGGCATAAATATGTCATTGAAGGTTATTGAGCTGCCAGTTTCAATTAATCAAAAATAGTTATGCAGATGAAGAAACTCACCTCATCTATTGTTTCTAAATCTAAGTGCAGCCGATTTTGTAAGGAACGGAGCTTTGGCAAGGATATCTTTTCTATATCGCCATAGTTTTTCATATAAGGTAATGTAGTAGATAGACAAGCAGCTAATTGTGCCTTCAGCTTTTTCAATTTATTTTCCACTTCCTCCTTCTTCTGAAGAGCGAGTTGTTTGTCCGCATCTGCGACGTTTGCACGTTCTTTTGCTTCTTGAGCCTCCTTCTGCCATGCATCACATGCCTGGGAGAAACAGAGTTCCAGAACATTAAAAATGGTTTTTTTTTTTTAAATTAACAACAGAAGAGCAAATTCAAAAGCCTTCAAAGACGCAGGTAATCTCTAATTTTAGACATAACAATGCATTTACTGTCAATTTAATGCTTCTCCCTACTTATCCTACCTTCTAATTAACAACTGCTCTTGTTTTGTCTTAATGTAATTTTTAGTTATGTCACTGTTAGTTGTCTGTAAACAGCCAGAAGCCTTTTCAGAGCTCTAGAAATGGAACACATTTTAAATGTTAAATTCATAATTTAATGTCAAGAGACACTGAAAACTATCAAAATCTAGTGCAGCTACTTAGCTACGCCTTGTCAGAGAGAGCGCAGTGCAAGGGGCAGGAAAGGACTGCAGAAAATGCAGGAGGCTGGCAGTTATATAGATACTTGACACTGTTCAGCCCTATCCTGAATATGTGCAAGTGTCCCGGTCTAGAGAGGCAGATTAGCTTTCAGAAAATGAGTTGCCCTTTAAAAAGCTCAGTTTCCTTTATGCCACCAGCTCATTTTGACAGACTGCAATAAAACTCTGGGTCCAAGGATATGAAAATGTGTAAGAAGAAAAAGCAGCAGACACCGCTTCTTTGTTAAAAATAAATTAATTAATATTACCATACATTAGCATACCTGTTTTACTTGTTGCCAAGATTCTTCCCATTGTTTTAGTTTTCTCTTGGCATCATCAAGTTCCTGTCTAACTCGAGTCAGTTCGTTCCCACTGGTGTTTGAACTTATTGAGGGGGTCGTGCCACTACTTAGTACTGGGGATGGACTAGGAGAGAAACTCCCAGTTACAAAGTCCCAAATGCTGCCTGTAACACCATTTAAACCTGTAAAATAAAGGTGGAAAAAATAATCTTTCTGCACCCCCTGCTGCAAAATGTTTCACAGGCAGAACAAAACACATGTGCCACATACACAAAATTTATACTTTTATCTGCAAGACTCATAACATTATTTCACTGCCTTCAGAAATGTGATAGTCTGGAAAATGTTTACAGTATTTAGAACAATTCGGGAGACTTACCACATGTTTTTTTTCTTGCCGCTTTTATTAAAAGACAGAACAGTCCACAAGAGGAGAAGGAAGAGTGGGAATTCATTTATATAGAAAAAAACCTTTGTTCCTGGCAGCTCATACATCATTTTAATTTTTTCTGTTTTGTATTTTCCTTTAGCAAAATGCTGCAGCAAAAATGCATTCCTGCTGCCTATATGCCAAGTGCTGTATTTCACTCCTTTCAGACATCTCTGCAAATATCTCCTTTTTTTTCCCTTCACTATGAATAGAAATTCACTCCTTGAACTTTCTTCCACGTACTACCTATAACTCCATTATCACTAGTGTCATGGATTACAATAGCGGGCTTTGCTGGCCGGGTAAGTCATAAAACACACCTAAAGCCTTGAACTGAGCATTTCTTACCTGCCACTGAGTTCCCTCTTACAATGCTCAAAAGTGCAGCCTTCAACTTACCCAGAGAGTTGTGCGAGGAGGCCGAGGTGCCCAACATACTATGGTCTGTTTTCAAAGGCTGAGGCTGCTGGTGGTGCGGAGCCGCAGTGGATGAAACAAAAGACTGAGACAGCGATTGTGAAAGAGAACTGAGCGGAGAGGTTGAAAGGGATGATGATGAATGTAAAGATGAGGAACGGACAAGAGAGCCTGGAATATTGACAGGTGCTGAACTTCCTAGTAATCTTTGACCTATGTATGTGTTAGGGAAGAAAAAAAGAAAAAAAAATACCATTTGTTCCAAAGCAGCTCACAGTTCTCTGTAAGTATTTTTCTGAAAAGCATGTCAAATGTAAATTAAATCATATATTCAAATACCTTCCATTAAAAACCCTCAAACTTTTATTTATCTCCTATTGCAAAAATATTTTTTTTTAAATTGAACACTTGAAAGTAGTTTTCCAAGTGCCTGAAAACTGAATTTGTAGCTTTACACAGCAGTGGCCTCATCTGCAGCTACAAAGAAAGAAAACACTTTTCAGATCAGGCTACTCAACTTACTCATTTTTACAGCCAACAACTAATGCAAGCGGAGAAACCGGAACTTAAAGGATTAAGAAAAATTTGGGTTTAATTTTAATATATAAACTAGAGTTAAGCAAGTGACACTACATACCCTGAAAATCATACAAGATTATATTATAATCAGACTTCACATACTTTTGCTTTTGTTCAGCAGATGTTAAACGTCAAATGTACTTAACACTGTATGAAAACAAAGTAAAAATTAATAAAAATTTAGTCAAATAAATTTGAAAGCTCACATGTTATCAGTTTCTTTCCAGGTCTGTATGAAGGGGAATATCGTGACCAATAATGGATGAATACTTCCCAGCAGACCTTCAATTAAATTGCTCATTCCAGGTTAGATTCATAGAAAGATTAAGTCTCTAATTTGCAAGTATTGAAATCCTAGATGTTGTGAGCTCTTTCTCCTCAGGAATTGTCCCCACTCCCCCCCTCAGGAACCACCTGTCCATGGAAGTGCTGTCAGTCCCCACAGCACAGACTGGCTGCTGCCAGACTTCACAGCACCCGGCACGTGGGAACTAATGCCTTCCTGTGAGCGCGCGTAAGTCCTTCCATCAACTCGTCTGTCCCTCAGCCCATGTCATTAAGCACGTTAAAATAAAAACAAATAAACAACAAAACATTTACTAGACTGGTCCCTTGCAAAATACAGACAGAATGATAGCAGTGCAATCCCTTTACACCATAAAGTTAAACAGCCAGAAGAAAACTGAGGACTTTTTTTTCAAAGTCTTTGCAGTCTGTAACTATTTGATGAGTGAAAGTTTGGAAAGGTAAGAAAGAAGGATATTTTAAATAATTTTACAAATTGGACCTCTTACTTGCTAATCCAAGGTCACTGCCTTCTTGATCTTCTAATTCTCTATCTATGGATGCGACGTTCACATCATTAAAATGCAGATCTAAAGCAGAACCTGTTAAGCAAAACATTGTATCAATGAATTATCCTTGAATTATCCATAGAACTGTCATGATGGCTGAAAAGAGGAAACTGACTATTTTTTTAGTGCTTCCATCATACGGCTTTCACATCTAGGTCATAATCTTAAGCACACTACAGACACACAGTATTTTCTAAAAGGGAAAACTCCTATCTAGACTATTGCAGCTCTTTAAGCTGGTGAGAAGTCTGGATAAATACTGATTTTACAAGTAGGGAAGTGACTGTCCCAGTCACTGTAGTCAGTGATAGTGATCACCTTTATAAAGAATGTTTAGGTTTACGTTGAAAATCATTACTAAAAACTCACATAAAGCCTAAATAAGCGGAAAAGGAACAAACATAAATAAAAGACACACTGGCAGAAGATCCAAAAGGGATCTCTTGATCCCTCTGGAATTAGACTGATTCCTCTCTCTCAGCCTAATCCTAAACATTAGGCACTGTAACCTCCAGAAAATCTTTGGCAGAAATACTAGACAGTTGTAAAAGTGCTAAAGATCAGAAATGGAATCATTTGGATCATGAATGTGAGATGAGTGCAATGCTGTTATGTGTAGGCACTGTCTCATGTTGCTGAGGCCGTCTAATGGGCTGCAGAGTCTCGGAGCTCCAGGTAATACATGAAGGGAGCTCCAGACCTAGAAGTAGGATGCACAGAAGGGTGCCCAGCAGGAAGCAGCCTAAACTGGCCAGAACAAGCTACCAGCCAAGAGATAAACTTCACATACTACACAATGATGCTCACAACAAACATACCTGAGAGTCAACGTAGCTCTTTGTGAAGTGACTAGTCTTGGTCTCAAAAGCAACACAACTTTATTAGTACAGAGCTGTGCCCAAACAATACTCCTTATCTTTCTGCAGTACACCAGAGCAGCTTGGTGTCCAGCAGTCACAGGGAGGAAGCTCTCTCTGCATCACCATTTTGGCCTGAAGGGCTACACCCTAGCTTTTCCAAGGTTTCCAGCAATAACCTAGCAGAGAGAGGTGCCTAAGCCAGTCCCTCTATACACTACAGTAAGGAGCAGAGTAAGGGCTTCCTTTTACTTGATGACTCAAGGCTTAGAGTGGCCACAAGTGCTGTCTGAAACCCAGATTAAAAGCCCCTCTTCCATACTGGGTTTGGGATCTCCATTGCTGCACTGTGCCTTCACACAGGTAAGGGCCTTTCATCTCCAACACTTTCCCCTGCCCATCTTGCCTTTCACCCTTCGCCTTCCAGAGCCTCTGGGGCTATGTGCTTCCTCGCCTGTTCTCATGCTTGTTATGCTCACTGTCTGGCACCCACCACTGGGGTGAGAATCACACTGCGTTTCTCCTCTTCTACTCCTGATTGTAGCTTTTCATTTGTATGAGGGACCCAGTAATATATTTGGACGCGCTCAGCAACCAATTAGCACACATCCACTGACCAGCGTGTGCTTCAATTAACACTAATAACATCATAAGCAGGAAGAGCCCATAAGGAGTTTGGGACAGTCTGGAGGAAACCTACAGTTAATACAGTTAGTATGGGAAAAGCATTATGTGGGAGAGAACCAGACACTGCACTGGAGAGGGTGCCCAAGAGAGGGTGCTCGTCTGCTCTGCCTGTCATTGCTTTTCCCACCTGGCCTCTGGGACAGTTTTCTCCTTCCCTTTCTTCTATCTCTCTTTTCTTACGTTTTTGTATTTATCTGGAAATAATTTTCACCATTATGTGCCATCAGCTATGCAACCCACTAATAAATCGTCACACACATGAACCTGCCTCAACATCCTTTGTGCAAAAGCACCATACACCTGTGAGAGCAAACCTCTCATCACTAAGCTGCAGGATATTCTGAGAGATCCCTCTCACTTTCACCAAGTGAAGCCGTTCCACCTTCTTTCAAAAAATTCAAAATTCTCTCAATCATGAAAAGAGAGGCTTTAAAATCTCATTATGAGCACCATCGTTATCTTTAAACAGGAAAACAAACTGCTTTTTTTTCAAGCTTTTGCAATTGCCCACATCACCCAGATGTTATTAATATTTGAAGTTATTTGCAGTGTCTGGCTCAGTATGTTGCTGCGCAAGTACAACAAGCAGGAACAGAACGGAGTGAGGCTGACAGAAATCATACTGCTCAAGCAGTGGATTGAATTTCAGCCTGTATCCTTACTAAATCACTAATCTGTCTCGTTCTCCTTGAGTGTAACTCATTCTGCCACTTGCCCTACCATAAAAAGGACTGACACTTTTTATGTTTATTATATGGACTCCTTACTGTTTATTATCTGGACTTTGAAGCTCAATTTCTGATACCTTCCCTCTCTCCCAGATTCCACTTCACATGGTGGAAAGTCAGCGGAGCGCAGGGAGAGAACACAGACAGCATCTTTAGATCACAACATATATGGGAAGCAAAAGGAGAGACCGCTTTTCCTTGAATGGCAAGTCTCCCAGACAGGCAAAATCCCCAGGCTTGAGCATCCAATGGAAAGCAGGGAAGGAACCAAAACCAGGGGAGCCCCACCCAGAACCTAACATAGACAACAGGCTGGCAGATGTCCTCCAAACGTTCAAGGTCCCACCTTCTCCCTACTACCCTTTGAGTCGTTTCCCTTCAGTGCTGCCCATTCCTATTTATTCCTCTCCAAATCTGTCTCCTTTGACACTTTGCTTACCTAATTTCTCTATTCTCTTCAAAAATATTTTCATTTATTTTTATTTTTTTTTAATATTACAGGACTTCAAATACCCTGCAGCCTTTTTGTTCTCAGATTATGCTTCTTTTTTTTTTTTTTTACCAGAACAAAACCAGACAATTCAACCAGTCTCCCTTGACTCTGACAGATGCAGACTGCAGCAATATACCTTCTTCTACTCTATCATTCCTCAGTTTTCAGCATACTGTCCACGCCCCAATGCTAAATTCTAGTTCTGTCTAATCAGTATATTTACTGCCAGCTGCCCTGCACTGTTCTCCTCCCCAGCTCTTGGGACCTATTGCTCAGGGAGCAGAGAGAGCTTGGAGCTCCCTATGAGATCAAGATAAAGGGCCACAGAAAGGGCTACAGCCCCCACTGTCTGACAAAGCCTCCTCAGTCCTTGCTAATTTGTCCTGCATTTCCCCTAACCCTTTACCCAAATCCATTCATCCCCATTTCCCATAATCACCCAGTCCCTTCCCTTGCTGCAGCTCTTTTTCTATCCCTTTTTTTTTATGATTCTTCAATCTACCACATCCTACAAGAACACTATGTATTTATTTTCTGTTCTACAATAACTTCTTAATTTTCTGCTCTATTCAGATTACATGCAGTACTTTATTTTCAATGCCATCCTGCATATGCATGAAGCAGAACTCGGGAAAAAAGAATTTATGTATCTATGAAATTCTTCTAAGGAAAAAAACCCAAGATTACACAGTTATCATAAAGGACACTAACTTATACATACATGAGACATGTACTTTACACTTCATTTTCTGTTAATAAACACAGCATACTGAAAACTGGTTCAGAAAATCATCTGTAGAGAAGCAGAGGCATATTCTAACTTAGAGGAATCAAAAGTCTCTTATGCTCAGTAATATAATCACACTAGGTCATGGGAAACATAGCTGCTTAAATGACTTTGCAATACTTGTTTAGCATATCATGTTTTAAAAATTATACTGAATTAGCACCTCATCTCATATACAGAAATTAGACCGTGGGTTTTATTGTTACATGAGTAACTTGTCACAGCCAACTAGCCTCTACTTATCCCAAAAGCAATGTTTATCCTGACAAAAATGTGATTTCATTCCATAGTATATCTTAAAATATTAACTGTAAGCTGATGAAATTACATTACTTGCATAGAACTAAACCTAAAATTCTACTCATTCTAGTTCTGAAATTTAATAAGAATTTAAAATTTATTTTCTAACACACAGATCATCAAAACAAGCCTTTAAAGAAAGCAAGCTAGACCCTTGTGAGACTGCAGAATTTATATCCTGCATAGATTTCTTTCCTAAAAAAATTAAAGGAGCGAATGCCTAACTTACCATGCCGAAGTGCTGACTCACTGCCTGCAGTCTCCTGGTCGCTGCTACACATCGATTTAAACACAGAAAGCTTCAAGTGCCCCAGCTAATCACAGCAACTCCCTGCTCACGTGACTTACACCACAGAATGTGAAATGCAGCATCTTTCAAACCACGACTTTCCCTGCCACAGCCTCCTGAATAAACCACATTCCGTGCAGAAGTGCCACAAATTTCAAGGATTTTGCGGATAACACTAAATTAAGGGGAACAGCTGATACGTGTGATGCCAGGACTGAGGTTTCAAAAGGCTGGAGAACAGAAACCTCATGAAGTTCAACAAAGGCAAATACAATAATGCTGCATCTGGGACAGAATAATCCCTTGCAACAGCGCTGGCTGGGGGATGAATGATCAGAAAAGCAGCATTCCAGAAAAAGTACTAGGAATTCTGATGAATGACCCGTTCAGCATGTTCTGTGGCAATAAAAGCTAACAGCATATTGGCCTGCATTAGCAAAAGTGGAGCCAGCAGGTTGGGGGAAGTGCTTATTCCTCTATATCCAGCACCTGTGAGACCACAGCAGGAATACCATGACCAGTTTCGAAGTTCCCAGTTTCTAAGTATTACTGAAATATTTATCTCCTTTTACCACTTTGCACATAAACAGCCTCACTGGCTGGAAGCATGAGAAAGGCTCGGAGCTAACAACAGAAATTTAGAAATTTTGGAAGTGAGTATTTTCCAGAATCTGTTTTGTGCACCCGTAAACCAAGGGCTGCTCCTCTTTGTGTCCTTTCAGACCTGGCCCTCATACTGTGAACAAAAGATTTTGTCCTTGAACATACAAATAACCAGACAGGAGAATATGCAGTCAGCCAAAGAAAAATCTCCCATTTTCATGTGATCATGGCAAAATCTGTAATTGCACCTGCTATGGTAGCATTAAAAAAACAGAAGCCAAATCTCCTCTGCCCACCAACAGAAGTTGAGGAAACAATACTTTTACTTCCAGCAACACAGTGAGTTGCACTATGCAGGTTTTACCTGTTTTTTGTATCACTGGCCAATACTATTACCAAAATTCCAGTTTAAATGTCCCATTCACTCATTCCTATACTCACATTGGAGATTTTGTGAAAAATAACTATTTTGGATGGAAACATTTAAATTAAATTTCAGATATTGCTTTTAATTACATACAATAAAACAGGTGTGTACCTTACTGTCTTTACCAATAAGCTCTTTGAACCTACGTTGAAACAAGAACTTGAATAATACAACAAAACACGGTACAATCAGAGATTAAATGTTAAGACTTACCTATTACTGATTCAACTGTGTTACTGCCAGAATAGAATGGGAGAGCTTTGGCACCGATAGCAGAGACAGTTGTAGGAGATGAACTATCTGATCCTACGCTGGAGGCCAGACTGGAAGTTATACTTGAAGCAAGTGGGTTAACTGCTGAAAAAACACTGAGATGGTTCTGTTAAAAAAGAGCCCAAACAAACAACGTATGTATATACACACAAACACCCTTATGCAGATGTATGTACAAACATCTAAAATAAACAGAATGTATTTTTTAAAGTAGTAATTTAATTCAAACACAGAAATCCAGAAGAATTCTCTGAATGAAGAGATTAGGCTAATTTTTCTTATTAATGCAGCAAGTGCATTTCTCCAATGTGGCTGGCCATGCTTTCAGAAAAAAGGTATTTAAATAATAAGGTATTGCCAATAAGCTCTACAAACGTAATTAGTTAGCTGAAGTTTGATGCTGCTTTTCAAAAGGAAAATACTTCTTGAGGAAATGTCCCTTTTTATTATGCATTCAAACGCAAAGTGTAGTCTATATTATTTTATGATCCATAAATTTTCTCATTTAATCTAAATGCAATTGGTGCATAAACTGATCTTCAGTTTAAGTAGCTGAGAAGCATGACTGCACTGCACACATGTATCATGCTATATAATGACTTGTACCTGTGCTTCTTTCTAGCCAAACAGTTTTTTCATACAAGTCACACATTTAAATTATAAAATGTCAGAAATGCGAACAAAATGTAACCAAGTCATATTCTAAACTGGAAAATAACTTCACAAAATCTACAGGGACTTGGTTTCCAGTATATTAATTCCTTTTAGATTCACTTTGGATTATACACTCCTGTGTGGCTGCACAAATGGCAAATGTTAAACTTCTGTTCTAATTTATCTTGATCATTGTCATTAACAAAGCATCAGGGCTCTTGTTCTAGCAGTGCAAAGCTGGCAAAGTTTTAAACTCCTTTGCATATATGGAATGACCTCTAACACCTGATGGATATACCTTCATGAGAGGTCAAAGCTATACCCTCTTCCCTGTCACTTTATCCATTTTTGTAGTTTTGAGCATCTGACACTTGAAGATGATGAACATCATCATCATCTTCCTTCTGGCCTTCCTTAAATTTTATCAAGCCGTCCTCAAATCAAGTTAGTCCAAAAATTCACTGTGAAAACTCTGCCATGGACTTGCTATAATCAAAAGCGTCTTCAAATTGCCTCGTGTTCTACTCATCCCTGTTACTCCCTGCAGCACACATCTATTGCACGTTTCCACAGAACCTAGAGCCACCTGCCCAGGACCACATCCAGACAGCTCTTCCATAACCCTAAGGAGAGAGACTCCACAACCTCTCTGTGCAACCTGTTCCAATGCTCAGTTTTACACACACAGTAAAAAAGTATTTCCCTACATTTATACAGAACCTCCATCGTTTCAGTTTGTGCCCATTGACTCTTGTCCTGTCAGTGAGCATAAATTTTCCTTAGACTATGTTGTAAAGTGCCACATAACTTTAATACCACATTAATAAATTATCAAAAAGGACAAAATATTTACAGCGTTCAGCTTTTGGCAATACCTGCTTGTTGTCTTGCTCATTTATTTTCTGCTGATTCTCAGCTGGGAAGCTTCGATGTTTTGCCTGAAAGAATTAAAATCTCTGAAATACATGAACTTAAAAGAGTCATTGCTGTAAAATATATTGTTAGTTTATGAAGGGTCAGTGGCATCTCTGTAATGGTATCTTCAATAGTTTGATTTCATTTCCCTATCTGCAGACTCATACTGATAATTAACTTTTAATGCTTAGAGTAAATCTACATGGAAAAGGAACAGCGGTTGCAATTGTTCCACTTACGTGCATAATAGAGCACATGCAAAACAACTCTGGTCCAAAAACTGAGTAGCAATTTTAGCACGATGCTGTGACAGAAATAACATGTCCCAAATGCTCACCAGCTGGGGAATACTTCTCCAAGAGGCTGGTGGGACAGAAGCCTGAGGTAGCCAAAAGTTTGAGTGGAAATGCCTAGATTTTTCCTTAAAGTGATCACGCTACAAATAACCAAAAAAGAGTTATTCAAAAATAAGGGCAGATTTTCTTTGAACACCATTTAATAATAAGGTAACTTTTGAAACACGTGAGACATACATAAATGAAAGGGAATTCTAAGCAATTTCCCTTTGCCCACTGTGTTCTTGCAGAGCAGGATCAAAGAATCTGTTCTTTTCAGGCCAATAATTTTCAGTGACATTCCCAAATTGCAGTGAACGCTAAAAGGTGCTGCCACCTTAGAAAAAATGGTTCTTTCTGCGGCCTTTGAGCACTCTTGTTGTGCCTGTTCCTTGTTTCTTTTGAGAGATTCCTAATCTGTCCTGTAGTGAGAATGCCCTAGCAGTAACAACTCCTCACCACTCTAGACACTTTTTTATCAATTGTGAAGTCCATCACTGCTTTCTCTCTAGACAGGTACAATGTGGCCACTAAAAGGCAAGCACATGATGTTCCCGACGCTGAGGCACATTCTTTGTAGTAGCACATTATTCACTAATTGTCACCAAACCAGCAAAAGAGATCTTCACCAATAGTTGCATCATTTCTCAATTATTGCTGCCTCCTGCCCAGAAAGCAGCCATTTGATACTGGAAGCGCCTCGTTTCCGTGACATTTGATCAATGATCACTTGATCCCTGTGATGGGAGATGGAAATCTTTCCCGTCACAATGACCAGCTCTCTAACCTGTAGTTTTTCTGAACCCCTACACATAAGGAAGCAATCCTGCCTGCAGAACTTTAAAGTTGTAGGTTTTGATCTTGCCAGCACCTACAAGAAGTTACCATTTCAAAACCCACCTTCCTTCCTTTCATTCTTTTTCTGTCTTTTACTTCTGCATTTCTCTGTACATCTCAGGTTACAGAAATCAATTCTGCCGAGTCACAGCTTTGCAAGAAGGCTGATCAGCTTGGCTGCAGCTTATTTTATGTGCCATTGGAGCTCACTTTTTTAAACAGTTCCTTTCTCACAATTCAGAAGCGTAATCAGTATTCTAATAGAGTGAGAAAAAATTAACTTTAACAGACAAACCCTGAGCTTTCAGCTTTTTTCTTGCAGGCCAACAAAGCTGTTTCACATCCCTGAAAAAAAGCCATCTTCCCCTCTCCCAACTGTCACTAGCATTGCCTGTTTTCTCCTCACCCCCTGACTAATGGATTATAACTCCTCATCGACTTCAATCTCAACCACTCTCACTGCTAATGCTACAGATGCCTCTCTTCAAGAGGCTTGTTATATTTTATCATCTATGTCTGTCTCAGCAATGCATTTGTCCAAGGAGAGAGGCAGCTGCAGGTGGGAGAAGAAACAGGCTGAAATCAAAGATTGGAACTGATAAAGTGTCAATTGCCAGAAATTAATGCATCTTTTTGCTATCAATTTTCAGCAATAACTAAAACTGGATCCTGCCAAGCCTAGTTATGATTTTTTTTCCCCCATTGTTATCTTGTCTTGCTCTGTTCTTGGCAACACAGGCTCAAAATGACAATCACAACATTTGTGCAAGGTTAGAATTCACTGCATGTCAGCTGAGCTGCAGCGACTGTTTGCAGGAGTGTTCTTGGCCTGTGACAACTCTAAAGCAATTTGATGCAGTTTAGCTCACTAAAGAAGAGAATTCCAAACTCCGTGTTCTAAATTATCAAAAATCAGTGCTGATATACAAGGCAGACAACATTTTCTGCTGAATCCAATTTAACTTAAGATCACATTTGTATTTCTAAACCCATATTATTCACCTACCTGATCTTCTCGTTCAAAGCCTGGTGCTTTTGGATAGCTAGATGTTGGTGAAGAAACACCTGATGTGCTAGACTCAGAACACAAAATGCCATTTGCTAATGATCTCTGTCTACAAAGAGGTCCAAGGGGTGACAAAGAACTACTGCTACCGGAACTTGATGTTACAGTTGGACTTGAAGAACAGCAAATCTGTAGAAGACAGAAAACAGTGTCTAGTATTCTCTATGGTATTTTTTTTATTTTTACAGCTATAGTCTCCCTCTGTAACACAGTCAGTTAAAATTATAAATTAATTTCAGTCTTACATATACACAACACTAGCTTTGGTAGATTTGTAAATATTTTTTTGGTATTAGCTTAAAAAAGTAGCAGATAACAAAAGTACCATAGAGCTATTTTAGGTATACAGACTTCAAAAGGAGACATGTTTGTACACACCAGAACAAAGCCTTGTTTGTTCCCTACACACAAAATGAATCACAGATGGAGGTCACTCCAGTTAATGGATATTAATTGACAATAAAGGAATACTTTCTTTCTGACAACCCTGATTTCCATTCATTCATATATTTCTTAATTTACAGTTTAATGCAAGCATTACACAATATTTCACTCTTCAAAAAGAGCTCATCCGGATCAAGCCAAGCAGTTCAAAAAGAAAAAGAAAAAGACATGCAGAATCTTGGCAAAAAGCATCTCAGTGCTTGTTTGTAAATCTTGAAAGGCTGTTTTCTGATATTCTTAAATATTAAAATTATCATTGATTAATAAATAATATTTTAATAAATAAAAGGCTTAAACTGAAGGTAGAATCTGTAAGCAGGCCTGGACAATTTTTTTGCTAGAAGTACAATTCTGAAGAACCTGAAATTTAGGAACTCAGGTGCCAGCATCCTACCATAATAGTTGAAGTGGAATTGAGGGCATTGCTTGTTTCCACATTTTTTAAGTAGACAGTTCAATTTTCTTAAACTAGATTTACAACTAGACTCACAAGGGCAGTATGGAAAAAGTTGCATCCTACATTTATGCCTAGAGAGCACTTGGTGATGACTCACATTTCAATCCCTTCTGCACTTGTTTGGGAACAGAATCTGCTAGTTCTCAAGGAACTGAACTAGTCAATACAATAATGGAGAGAAATTCTGCCAAAGTTACTTTGGTTTGTTTAAATATAAAATACACACTGAATCACACAGACTAGACAAGAATAACTATATACTTAACAGTTAAACTCTCAATTTAGGGTTAACTCTAAACCTTAATTTTACTCTATGCTCCAAAGAATGTGAAAGTAAATTAAGCAAACCAGGATTTTAAGAGGAGATACCTCTCTCCCCAGAATAGTATAATCCCACAATCTCCCTCCTGAGCAGCAGGAACTTCAGATTCAAATTCCTGTAAATCAGGTAAAGCATAGACATGAACCTAGACGAGGTCTTAACCCCCCCCAAAAAAATTCCCCCAACAAATGTAAGCCTTACTCTCTCTGACGACTATTACCTACGCATTCACTTATGCCTATCCCTACAGAAAATCTCCCATCATGAACCTTATCTGTGTGGAGTTCTGTAATTAGATGGCTTCTGAAATCCACAGACAGCTTCTCTGCACAAGGCGAAGACAGGTCTGAAAGGTACATATATCCTGAGAGCTGACAGAAGTAGAAGACTGGGCATTACAGCAAAAATAATTAAATTGATAGCCAAGCTGTATCAAGACAAGTCCTTCTGAGTCCTTCTCCTTTCAAAGGCTGAAAAATTCATGTTTTGACCACAACCTTGTTATAATATGCAACTTTTCTCTTTCTGCTACTAACTGCTTTCTGCTACTGTTTTACCTAAATCCAAAACTGAAGAATGCCCCTGTGCATGGCAATGTTAAGTTTGCATGTTTTTTCAGCTCTAAAATACTGAAATTCTTTATATTAGAGAGAAAAGGAAAATAAAAGGACACTTCCAGGAAAAAACCCACTGCTTTTCAATAAAATTTAAAAACATATTCGTTTTTAGGTCAATAAAAACATGCTGAGGTATTCAGCATTTAAAAAAAAATTTTGAAAACTTTGTATTGATAACGTAGTTACATCTTGTAATTTAAAACATACTTAACACTTAAAACATACTTACAAAGCTGCTTAATACAGCAGACAAATACGTAAGATAAAATGACTAGACAGCAAAGGCAGACTAATACCTGAAGAAAGACACTAATTTAGACAAGCCACTGACTCAATTAAGGATGAGTTCCCTAATCTGGACAGAATGTTTCTCAGATGCATATTTCACATACACTCTTTCAGCTAGGCAGGCAACATAGAGTATTTCACCTCCACAGGAAGGTGTACCCCATGGCTGCTCCATGAAAATGTGACCTAATGAAGACCAGGGGAAGAGGGAAGATGACCACTATGGATTATTTTCCTGGAGGACTACCTGCCAACAACAGCCATAAATGGGGAAGGATGCCCTTGTTCAGAAGTACTGAGCCTGAGGAGCAGACCTACTGGGCAAGATCAGATGATATCAAGTAGGTAAACCATTAGGTAAGAACATAGGTGCCACTCGTGATCCTTCTGGTTACAGTAGGTAGCAATGGTGGCATTAACATATATAGGGCTGTAAGCATTATGAGCTTTTGCTAATGCTACAATTTTGTGTAGTTTTGCTCTGAAAAACTAAACTAAAACAATCGCTCAACCCCCTAAAATGCAGTTACATTAGTTAATTACATTAATGGTTAGGCTTTTGGTCCATCTCTGAAGAGTCTTTTTTTAAGCTTTTTCTTCCTTGTTAAGAGAGATGCACAAACAACAGAAGCTAGAATTCATACAGTTGCCTCAACTCTGGAGGAAGCCTTCAACATGACATCAAGGCCAACATTTCTATCCCTTTACTCTTCAAAAGGAAACTATTATTTATTGCTCTGAGTCTAGAAGGGCTAACATAAATATTCTATAATTGGTAAATGCAATTAATCTTTGATGTATCTCCTATTTAATCTCCAGAAGAAACAGCAAGTTTTCCTATTAATTTTGCAGTGCCACAAACAGGAACAATATTTACAGATAAATTTTATCATACAGCTAGGCTTTTGCTCTGTATCATCACCTCCCTAGGTACATTGCAGTTAGGTACCAGCAACACAGAGATCTGATACATGGAGAAGATGAGTAGTATAATCATAAAGCTGAACGTGTTTTAAGAAGAGGTGATAAGATTCTTGATATTTTTTGGCTGAAAAGCTGCTCAAAAGAGTACACATTTTGTATTGATGTAACAACACTGCAAAGCTCATCAACCAGGTAGAGACAGCATGTAAAGCCTACTATGACTACAGCTGCACACACCGAGACAGCCTCGTTAATCCAACTCTCATGGCACTATGAGAAAAACAGACATAGGAGAGGACCATTTGGATATGTTAAATTGCAATAAATATGCAGGATATAAGTGAGAACAGATGGAATGAAGGGATGAAGTTCAGGTGAGGCAGAAGCTTAAGGCTGAGAACGATGCTTATATATGGGATGCAGAAGACTGCACGCCTGAGAGATTATTTCAGCAAAGGTAACTGAGGAAAGGGGAAGGTAGCAAAAGTGACGGAGGGAAAGGGGTCCATAATATATTGGATGATGAAACATTACATAGCTGAAGAGCCATGGAAAGACATCCAAGGAGTAATGGAAATATGAGTAAATGTGAAAAAACAGTAACATAACCAACATTATTAACCAAGTAGGGCATCAAAGTTTAAACGGTGCAAGCAACGTATTGGAGGAATGGATCAAGCTATTTCAAGACTTGTATGAACAGAAATATTCTCCAAGAAACCTGGTCTACTATCATTTTCCAGAACCGAGTTTAGCTACACGAGTTTTACCAGAGCAACAGAAGGAATTATAAGGAAGACCCTCTTAAAGATAAATAAAGACTGAAAGAAAATAAATTTATATCACAAAAAAAGAAGCAGTAGGAGAATGAGTAAAACGGAGTGTTCCTTCTGGCAATTACATGACACTGAACAGAGCACAAAAGAGTAGTGATGGCTAAGAACAACCAGTAAGAGCTGAAAGTAAAAGTTGGTGGTGTAAATGCAGTTCCTAAAGAAGACACATAGGACTGGGAAAGCATGAGTGAATTTGTTACTACAATGCATACAAAGACTCCAAATCTTACTCGAGGCACTTCACAGCTCTGATGCAATATGAGAAAAAACAGGTCTGCCAAGAAAGCCAACCTGGAATTTGGTAGAACAACACAACAAAAAGAAAGATGAGAGGTGATGGCAAGTGTGGAAAAACAAATAGTCCTAATTGAAATGAAAAGTTGCGATTAAGGGAAATACTGTACCACATTGGGTAAACTGCACTGTGGAGGTTAAGTATATTTAGATGATACAACTGGTAGAGTATAAAGCAAAGGGAACCACAAAGACAGACTGGAGAAAAACAGTACTTTCAAAGATCAGGTGAAGGGACTGACACAAGTATAATATCAGATGCTCCAAACAAGAAGGCAGAACATAGAGATAAAGAAACATAGATGTAGAAGCTTTTCATGGAAACTGAGCTCACATTTACCAACAAAGACTGAAGAGTAGGTTATTTCCTGACTGACATGTTAAGGAAAGATACAGGAGGGGACAGAAAGACAGATAGCTTATGGGAACAGAGAGAAAAACACAAACCATGAATGAAACATCTAAGTTGCTGGGATACAGAAAGTGAGAAGAGGGAAGAAAACAGACTGACTACTTAAATACTAAAACTAAGCAGTTTACAGCAGATAAAAAAGGTGAGAGCAAGAAAGTAACAAAACTCAAGAATTAAACTTGGAAAAACAGAAGACCAACCTACTAATGGAACTGAATACCCAGAAAACAAATAATGGTTCAGGTAAGTAGTCAAGTGAAAGAAAGACAGAGTATTTTGCCAGACATCAGAAAAAAGGTGGTCACTTGCAATAAAACTTCAAGTAGAAAGTACAGGGAAGGGAGCAGGGTCAACTTTTCCATTTCATGCTTGAACAATAGTACAGGCAGAGAGACTCACTGAGCACTGAATGGAAGATGTACACGATGTCCATCAGACTTCTAATCGCTAACAGAAAAATACATGTATATTGAAGACGACTCCCCATGACTGGAAAGCATATTAGAATAGTTAGTGTTTTCACCTACATTAGCTGTATCTACATTATTCATGAAAGGCTACGAAGCTTCTGGGAGAAGAGATGCTTTTATGGGTCCCTCTTGAAAGCTTCAGAACCTTAGCAACAATGAAATTAGTTTCCTAAATAAAAAGGCAGACCCTCTCTCAGAACCTTTCAGATACAGAAGCAAAATTCTGCACTGGGAATCTAAGATAAAATGTAGGCATATTGGTATCTTTATTCTCATTCTACAGGATAGCAATATGAAGCTACATGAAAGAAACCCTTTCTTTCATGGAGTTTTAACAACTACACAATTTATTGGCAAATTTCTTTTAAACGTTATTTCAAATACATCCTTTTATCTGGTTTCCAACCAAACAGTATAAATCAACAATGCTGGAAAGCTAGAAGTGAAAATTCTGGGAATAAATGTGTATGTACTTGTGATTCTGCTCTGCAAACGAGGTAAGAAAAGATCCAAGTCAGGAGAGAACAAGAGAGCTGCCACTATCTTTATATATTATTTTGCAACAAACATAAAACCTAACAGAAGGATCTATTCCAAGTGACACTAAAAGTAAAATAATAAAAGCTCTGCAATATATTTTTCTCCTTCCTCTCCCCCATCCCTAATTGATAAAATTTGCTAATATAAACTACATTTATCACCCTTGTTACCAAACACCTCTCTACTCCCAAAGACACTGCATGTGCTGCACCACTGTAAGAAGCTTTAAGTATAAAGCATGTACAGGTAGGACATCAATTCATTTCTAATGTTAACAAATTAGGGTAGAGAAGAGGGCTGGGATCAAGCAGGAATTACCATGAATTAAACCTTCCCTATAGAAAAAAGAGACATATGTAAATTAAGCTATGCTGTAGTTGTCTATTTGATTAACAATGATGTTCCTCACGGTAGCATTCAACATATTGCATCTAAAGACAAAAAATAAGAACAGAAAACACAAATAATACATAGTTAAATGGTATTTAACTATGGTGCCAAGGGCAGACATTCCATTTAGGCTTACAATACTGGTTAAATATTACTGCCTGACATTTACTGAAGCTGTGGGTTTTTTCTCTTTTGCTGAGGTACAAAGAAATAAAAAACAGATGTTTAAGAAGCAAAATAAACATTGCATATTGGCACAGTGATTATTATTAGTAACTTTTCCAGAATTATTTACACTTACATTTCCAGACTGCCCACTGCTATTTGTAATGCTGTTTGTGGAGTTAAGAGTGCTGCTCCATTCATTTGCAATTCCTATGCTGTCTGTTGGATACAGGTGAGCGCCTGGCTTTGATTGACAACCAGTTTGCAGTATGACTACATTCATGGTGTCCTCTGTTGAAGGAATCCCCAACAAATTACACACAGATTTGATACTTAGCTGTGTGAATTTAACAATTACATACCTACTACCAAACACAGCACCCGTCACACAGAAACATGAATCACACACAAGAAATCTCACTCTCTTTCTTTAAATAGAAGCATAAAGGCAAGGTAAGAATAATATAATTCACCATTATGTATTTGTGGCTTCTAACAGATTTGATACTCTTATTTACTTGCTCTGTCAAAAATTGCTGGGAGGTAGATCAAAATTAAAGTATTCTAGATTTTGCTTTATTTTCTAGAATCTCTATCACACCAGGGTTTAAAGACAACATTTTTAGAACTCCTAAGCATCATAATTATAGGGTTGTTTTCTTTTTCTACTCAAGAACCAACTGAATCATAAAACAATCTGAGCGAACGTAAGACTTGCACTATTTAACTTAAAAAGGAACAATAAACTTTGAGAAAGTTCATTATTAACTTATAAGTAAATTGTGACCAATGATTTGCAAATTTTCATACCAGAAAATTCAGCTCAAGGTGACTGAACAATTATTTGCAATTCCCCAAAGGCTACTTCGTTAACTATTAAACATCTTAGATATTTGATTCTTTAAATGTGCAATATATTAAGGATACTTAGACTTCTAGTTTTACAGACAAATGAGGAGTTAACACCAAATGTTTACTTTAGTAAGCAATTACAGTTAATAACATTCCTCACCTCATAATCCATGCACACAAGACATCAAAGCAAGGAAGTCAGGACTGAAAACAAGATCTTTTAATAAATTCTACAGGTACGGCAAGATTTTTTTCATCCCTAGCCACTAGCATTTCTGAAGGGGTTATGATAAACTACAGTTAAAAATCAAATGTAAACATTTCTCTCTACTAGGAACAGTAAGTAGTTCTGATAGAGTGTACAAAAGTACAAGCCACAGTAGGAAACAAAATGAGTATGAGATACGTAGACATCTCACTTCAGCAGAGCATCATTTCTAATGATGTGGGGTTTTTCTATCCAGCATTTGACACAACAAACTCTGTGGAATTCTTACTAAATGGTCCAATGCTTTACCAAGTCTTTCCATTATTGTATAAATTACAATAATATGGATGTGGCTCACAAAAAGGAAAGGAAAAAGCTACTAGCAAGTATCACTATACACACAAGTCTAGTCCAACCACATCAAAAAAAAAAGGAACCACAGGGATTGCAAAGATGATGTCACCAGACCCCTGCTGCTCCTCCTCCAGAATGGGAGTGCAAAGAACAGTTGGAAAGACAGAAGCAGATGCGTTGACTTTTTGTAATTTACTCTCACTTTCACTACATATCATCTCATTGTACAGCTGCGTGCCCAGAGCAAGGCCAGTCAGGCTGCTTATGTCCAGTCAACCCTCACACTGTCATAGGAACAGCACTGATTCATGCTCTCTTAAATCTTTGTTAGCTTATTTTCCCTGACACAACGACATACCAGTATTCCATAAATTGGTGTAAGTAGTCATACCACCCTCAAAGGGTAGTATAAAACTGCTTTCCAAACATTTCAAAGAGAAATAATCTCTCCTTTTTCTTTCCAAGGTGTTTATGGAGAATAGCATGATTGGGTTTTGCTATTCTGCTTATTGATGGTAAGTCAAACAGACACATTAAATTCAGAATGTGTGCTTCTACATCATTCCGTTTCTTCTACAAATGATTTTGCACAGAATGATAAAAATTGCTGAGATACATGTATGATTTGTGGGAAATCTTCCTCTACCCATTCCACATAGCTAGAGGTTCACTGAAGTTAGGTGCAGAACACCCATAATTTGTGATTCAGAGAGATCCATGAACCAAGAGTTTCATGCTTTTTACATTGATGATAAGATCTACAGCTCTGAAACCATTCTCTCCCCTTTCCCTAACAGGAACAGAAACCATTTTATTCTTCAGACACAGAAGGCACAGTGTCAGAGCTACTGAACTAAGCTTAAAGCTGTTGCCAACAGCAGAAAGGGACTCTTGCTGATGGTAACCAAACGTCTAACTTCTGATGAACTACTCAGACTACTAGAGACAGGGGGTGGATAATGTTGCAAGATTTCAAGTTCATTTATCAAGATCTCCTGCTTAAACAGTCTTCATTCCAGATGATGCAAGCCAAAGAGGTCCAGAGCATGCTGGTTGAGCTACGTAAGTCTCCTCTGATGGACATAAAATTCTATCTATCTAATGCAACTATGTGGAGAAAATTAAGCTGCTGCTTCTCAATTAGCACTTCTAACATGTTAAAAGTCTTAGGAATTCTCTCAAAGTTCTGGAGATTTTTATAAAGTAGAAGAATTCATCCTACAGAGCAGAGAAAAGGATGAGGCTGGGGTAGAAGGATTAGGAACGAATTAGAAAGAGATCCCTTAAGGAGAGTAACATCAGTAAATTGTTAAGTTTGGACTTTCCTTCAGCCCTCTTTATCTTTAGCCTGCACAATGCTTAACTTGGAAATCTTGTTTATGGTCAATGAGAGCTTTCTGTGAGAATGATTCCTCTCATAGGAATCAAGCATCAACTGGACTGTTAAAGTTACTAATGATCTACAGAGAAGCAGATCACGATGAGGTCTCAGAAGAACTCCAATCTCTAAGAGTTCATCCTGTACACTCTCCATGCTAGAGAGGCAAGACGGGAGGCAGCATTCAGTTCGCTCTAAGGAAGAGAACAGAGAAAATATAGTCTTCTCCACAGGAATTTTGCAGCATGTCACAGTTATACCATGCTACATGTATGCAGTGAATTTGTTTTAATCATACTCTTTCAGCTGTTTCAGGAAAGAAAAGACTTATATCAGAGAAACAGAACAGTAAACCTAGTGCCATAAATTACTTATGTAACAAAATGTGTATTTTCAGACTTTCTAGCGTCAAAGAAGGACTTGCCAACACTGACAAACACTGAAGGACTTGATTTAGGAGATAGCCCCGACAGCACGAAAGCAAAGGTAGTGAGCTACTTCTGATGTGAAGAAACAGTCAATACTGATTCATTGCCATACTGTTTTGAATAATTGCTAGGTCTCAGAATAATGAGTTACTTGAAATAAATACAGGAGGCTATTGATCTTTCCTCCTCTTTGAGTAACAGAACCATGGAAAAGTAAAATCGATCATCCCATAGAAGTTAAAAGACAATGTGAACCTGCCACGGATTCTCAGAAACAAGAGCTGTGGGCAAGAATGACTCTATTCACTGGAAGTCTTTTAGGTAAGCAAGTGACACAATAAACAGTCTTATAGAACATAACATTTGCCTAGAGAGGTTGGGCAGAGAGGAGACTGCCATTACTTATCATCAGAGAATCGTAAGATAAATACTACTGAACTGCAGAAATTTGGAGCTTCCCAAAATTGGTAGGGTCTCTCTTCCCTCTTTCCAGTTCCAGAAGTAGAAGGCAAAAAGTAAGATAGGAGCAGACCTTTTTTTTTTTTCCTTTTTAAAGAATAAATATAAGGGTTTACTGATTACATAATCAAGCAAAACATACTAATCAAAAAAGAAAAGACTTATCACCTATAAGAAACTAGTTACATAGAAATGCTTCAAGTTCTGCCTTACATCACAACTGACAAGGCAACATGATTAGTTGTTGCAGCAACTGCACACTTCACATTGTGGAGTGCAGGAAGAGTGTGGGGGTAACCTAGGTTGATACTACTATTAAAAAGCACCTGATGATGCATACCCAGAATTAATCTCTCTAGATGCATAGCAAAGAACTGAGTGCTGTCTTGGAAAAAAATGGTCCCTCTTCCCTTTTTCTGTATGTAACAGTTTGAGAGCAGTGAAGATGTGGGCTATGGAGGAAAGAGAACAGCCAACATCATCTTTGTGCTCGTTTTCAGTTTAGCTAAGGCGCTAGTTCTGCAAATGCAAGGATGCTTAAGTCCTACCTGAGAAGTTTACCATAGGTTTCAATAGCTAATACAGCTAATATATTTTAAAAGGTGAAGCGTGTGTGTAAAAGATTGCCAAATCAAGCTCAAAAAGTTACAAGGACGACAGCTGCATTTGCAAAGAAAAGCACCTCCTGTTTTACTGCTGATGCAAATTTGATGCAAATGCAGGAAGTTCCCATAGCAATGTATGGTATTAGAAAACATGGAATGAATTTCTAAAGACAAGCGACATCAAATGCCATTAATGCATTAAAATTAATGATATTAAGTCACCTCTGTCACTGATGCTTAGAAATGATTGCTCATTTTTACGAACACTGATACAAAAGAACAGTTCTTTTACTTACTTTCAACATGTGCAAATGCACAAAATGGACCACGCGGGCAGTAACCTGTTTGGCGCATGTCATTGCACTTTGTTGATTTATATATCTAAACAAAACAGAAGGGTGGTTAACCTAAATATATTTCTTACATAAGAGTTAGAAAATTTTTTAACCTTTAAATGAAAAATTCTGAATATTTACTAACAATATGTTTTACAGTTTTCTCAGGAAATTCAGTCCTTATGATCATTTTAAAATATCAAATAAAAGAACAGAATTTTAAGAAAAGCAAACCTGACATGAGAACCTTAACCCTCTTCTGTATGATAACAAATAGTAAGTAACAATAATATTTAGAAAAGCAGTGTTTAAACTGCTTTGGTTTTCCATGTTGTACAAAAACAAGTCAAACATCGGGAATAAAATGTTCGAAGTAATTTATAGCACTTTTAAGAAATCTTTCAGGGGAAAATGGCGTATATAGTAGAGCAACTCATACAACTGAAAAAAACCCACCTCAATATGCTTTTTTCAACACAGTTCCTTGGCTAGGACACCTCTAATATTCAAATCATCCTACCACTCAAATGTCTTACTCTAACCTGACTGGGGCACGTGATAACTGAAGTAATACTGACTGTTCATGACAGAAATATTTATATAAGTTGCTAGTAAGATCCAGATTCAGTTTATCGCTCTACCAGGATCTTGATGATGTTTGGATTTCACAAGGCTGGAAGGAGGGGCTGACATACTATCATATTAGAACAATACAAAAAACCTATTTAAAAGTACATAGGTTCTTTAGAGAATTAATTCTGGTGATTTGCAAGCCTGTGGCAAATAGCAGAGGGATCTTTTTGAATCCCCAAACCTCAGGTCTTTGGTTTTCAGTGCCAGTTGAGTGATTCATGGCTTGATAAGTAATAACTCTTAGTTCAGAATGCAAATTCATTGGCACATTTACATAAGTTGCGTAAAAAAATGCTTACCTTGGACTCCTGCCTTAGAGCAAACATGAAAAATGAAACTATTTATTAAAAAAATAAAGAACTTGCAGAACCAGTTGTTCTTTATTTTAGAGCTATTTTAAGCATATTAGATAAATTTCCCTCTCATAAGTGATTTTGAATTGAGGATGAAAATTTAGTTGCTCTATTCACTACTAATTCATGCATAACCCAAAAATAATCCAAGAAACTATAGTGAAATGCTATATCACAAAATTATGGTGCTTATCACTCTACAAATAATTAGACAAGTATTCTTCCAAATGACACACTTAACAAAGAAAACACCAGGATTCATTATTCCACCAATTCCACTGGGAGCTAGTACAGACATTGCAAAAAACAAAGGAGTCATTTGTGGACACAAAACCTGAACTAGGAAATGAAGCTGGGCCCACATCCTTTCTTTCCTGTTCTCTCTTTATTGGTTAAATATAAAACCCCAATGCTCTATACACGATGCTAATGATGCAGAAGAAAAGAAATGCTAAAAGCTGACTTCCAAATGGTTTCAACAAAAGATGTAATTGGAAATTTGGTCTTAGTTTGAGGTCCTAGCCAAAAAATAGCCTTCCTGATCCTGTGAGCTACCCAGATGGTACAGAGTGCCTGCTTGTAAATGCTACAGATACAAGAACTGACAATATAGATAATACCAAAATACTATTGAGGCAGAAGTCACACATCAAAGACTGATTCTGGAGATGGCCACATCATCAACACATACTGATATCACAAGACAGACAGCAAACTCAAAGAAGTAAATCATGACAGAAGACTAACTTCGCAGCTACAAAAAGGAACATGGCTGGTATCCATTAACAGTAGAATCAAGCTATTTCTGAATGTGATATCTAAAAGATTTCTTCAAAAAATAGTCACTGAGCCAAAAGGCAATGACAATATTCTTTATTTGAATTTGGTAAAGAATGAGCACATGAAAACATCCAAAAAGAGAAGATAATGTTGGATAAAATGAGTATTAATTCAACTTAAAGGACATTAAAAAGTAAGGCTGAACTAATGAGATCAAATCAACAGACTGAGGAATGAAGGGAACTGATTACCACCATTAAATAGACTGAATTTCATTATGAACTGAATAAAACAAGTTCTTTGAATCCTCAAATCAGTGGTACAAAAGCTGTATGGAATTTCCATTCTAACCCCACAACTGGATGAAAGTCAAAGCTGGAGTAAAGGAGGGAAAAGATCACAGGACATGATGCTGAACAAAAACTGCTCTTTCAGCACAGGCATGTTGCTAGTAACTGTGAAATTAAACACTAGATCTGAAATTAGGTGAGTTGGTAACACTATCCCCACTAAACTCCCTTGATTATCAGTAGGAATTATATTCAACACTACAACAAAAGCAGCACAGCTAATTAGAAACAAGCAAAGACTGAGGTGACTATAGATGATGTGGAAGCAAATCACCATCAGTTCAGGAACAGAAAATGAATTAGGCAATTGGTATGTGAGAATTTTTTAAAAACTGGTAAATAAATCAGATGTAGTTAGCAAGTACTTTTAATAAAGCCATCACATCAGAAGGAGCATATATAACTGAGGTATATTAAGTATAGCTCACATATGGTAGAAAAGAGCAAAAATAGCTGATTCAGGCCACTGCATGTCCACTAATTATTCTGTCACCATTTAAATTAAAGACATAAAGAAATGGGATAAAATTAAAAGTACATTTGGCAAAGACACCATGGTAGACTCATCATATAACTTCGATAAATCAAAGATCCTTCTCTAAAATGGAAATGTACTTGTTCTAGTAAGGACTTCAATAAAGAATGTGGTAAGATTCATTAATTAAGATAATGAAGAATGCAACTCTTACCAATGATATATATATGTTAAATTGACTAATGGAGACATGACAATGAAAGAGCATGAAAGAGGAAGGCAGCAGACAAAACTAGTAGCAGAACTTGAGGCTCAGCCTTGTGACTTATTTTAGGACTTTCATTCATAGCTTTGTCATAAATAAAAGCAGGAAGGCATCTTTACTACAAAAAAAAAAAAGGCTGGACTATGATGCAGAAGAAATTAGATGATCTGAAATAAATCTGGACTATAAAAATTTGGACAGTGAAATTCTGGAGCAGCATCTCAAGAGTAGAGATAGCTGACACCTCTTTGGTGTAAAGACATGGCCAGTCAAGTTATGATAGGGAATGTGTGATACGATGCTTGCAACAATCCTGGACTCAGTATTCTAAGAATTCTTTTCCCAACACCATCTTGAGATGCCTTCAATAATCTTCATAATTGGAAGAGAAAATACCAATGGCTTGAATGCTCTTTGCTTATACATTACTAAGTATTGAATTTCTAATGCAAGAAATTACATCCCACATGTTCATTCAAAGGTCCCAAAATGAAAATGGATATCTAATGTTGTACAAGAAGCTTCTAGTATAATACAACTTTTCAGTATCATGTTTGTTTCCATTAACTGGAATTTCACTAGCACTCACCCTAGCATTTCACTATTACGCCCAAGCATCCAACGAAGTTACAACGACTTTGCCTACAGAGGAATCTAAGATCACCTTGTTTTTCTGAAGTGTCTTACTTCAGCCTTGGTATTCCCTATAAACATCTGACTTTATCTGCTAGAAACAGACACTGTCTGAAACATACACTGTTCATTTCAGTCAGTTAGAAGACGCCTAACTGAAAAGAAAATTGCTTCTGTTCTACCTCAAACCTGGACATTTAACTATACTTAAAATAGAATTTTTTTCCTAAGTTAATGAGTAGCAATTACTACTGTGACTTCATTACCAATCCAAAAGGTTAGATAAAAAAAGAGAACGCATTTATTTATGCCCAAATACAGGGAATATTAATTTTTCATAAGCAGTACAATAAAAGTGTACAGTGAAAACCACAGCAGTACAAATAACTTTTTCAGCAAATTTTGTTTTGCAAATACCTCAACGACTGGAAGTGTTGAATAAAATGTCACATTTTTTCATAATTAATATCTTTGATAATCTAATCCATAATAAATTTGAAATTGCTAAAAATAAGTTGAAACATAGTTCTTACCTCAGGATGAAACTGCTGCTCTGTACGAGAATGACAATATTGACAGCTGTCCCCACTTTCACACCTGGAAGGTTCACCCCATTCATCTGCATGTTTTACATTGGGGCAAGGAGTGGACCTAGAAAAAGAGCAATGTCCAGAACATGTTTGTATCCACTTCCTAGCAAAAGTCTTAAAAAATTTTCCACTACATCTCAGAATCTTAGATTCTGGGACCTATAAAGTTGCAAATTCTGAAAGACTCTGACTTTTTGGAAATTCTATGGCAGAAAGATGAGCTAGTAGGATTCTTTCTATCTCCTGTTTAATGACATTTATTCACAGTCCTGAGACTGTGAAGCAAAACCCATCAATTATAAACCTTGTATCACTGCAAAAAAACCCTACCAAAAACAATGAAGTAACCAAAGTGTATGAGAATGATGTAAAATGATGTAATGATGAAAAGTAAGAGAGGAGATGCATTAAATTTTTGTCCTAAAAATATGGGTCAGAAATGGAAAATTATAGAACAAAACCAGAAAAAAAACCCAGAAATTATAATTATCTCATAACAAAGAAGGTTTTGACATAGTTTGCTAAGAATTATAGAATTGTTTTCATTTTTCACAACAAAGGAGGGTATTTCCATTACAGCTTCATAGTTTTTGTCTTCAGAACTTTCTGATCATTCTGAACAGCTGCTTTTCCTCCCCCAAAAAATTTTAGCAATGCTATTGCATAAGATGTATTTTTATGCCATTAGGAATATCCAATTGCATCACAGAAGAACTCAACCAGATCAGTCCATTAACAACTGTCTGAATGACCAAAAACTCTATTCTTAATATGGATTCATGTACCTGTATTTGAATTTTCTGGGATTTCTTCTTCTATCTCGACTATTGTGATAGTGTGGACATGCATAACCCTGGCGGCAGAGTCTGGGTGGCTTGGTACATTGTTCTGTCTTGTAGCCAGCTAATACAAAATTTGTGTCTGTAAACAGGTCAACAATTAAGAGAAATAAACAACTAATTTTTGCATTCAGAGTATCTTTAGTGAGCTAAGGTATCACAGTGCTTTTTGTAAAAAAATTATGATTCACAGACTGCTCCATTCTTATAAACTTAGACTGAGTCCTGTATTTTTTAAAATAAAAGCCTAACACATTTACATGCAAAGCAATTTTCTTTGCTTTTATATTCAATAGCAATATTACAATAAAGTACATAAATAAAGCACTAGCAATCTATGTGTAGAGAAACTATCCCAAAATTCTCATTATATACGTTCAGTATTTTGAAAATGAGTACCTGAAAATATATTATTCATTTTAGTATGGCAAATACTAAAGTTATACAATTTTATATCTGGACTTCTCTTAAGTTTAGTGTTCACAATCCTTATTTCACCAAAACTGCTCTCATATTAAGGCATGTTAAGGCTGTCCATTAAAGTCTTCCTGGACAAATTCTAGAGCCTCTTCTCTACCTTTGCCTCTGTGTCTACATCTTTGGTTCCAGGAAAGAAGAACTAGGAGATGACAAACAAGGTTCTGTCTAGAAACAGAAAAATTCAGAAAAATAATGGAGCAATTAAATAAATTAGAAAGTACAATTTAGCTAATGGCAAGCATGGGTTTGTGAGGAGTAAATCACATCAAACCAATTTAACTTCTTTCTAAGGTGGCAAAATGGATGTAGGTAAAACAGAAGCAGTCAATGTGAAGATGTCATGTATCTTCACTTCAGCAAACCTTTTAGCTCGAGATGTTCTCAAAAACAAACTGCACAATAATACAAGACTCCTGTAGGATTTGTGGAAAATTAGCTGAAGAAACATCCTCAGAGTCATTAATTATGTGCTTTCAAATAGCAAAGATTATTAATCAGAGTATCACATAGAGTCTATTCTTTGTTCAGTCCTTTTCAATAGTTTAATTAAAGAAATGGGAAAATAAGGCTGAAATCACTAATTGGATGATTTTCAATCCCCAGAAACTATGTGCAATGTTACCATATTTATAGGGTTTGACAGAAGCCATACAAGATTATATAAAACAGATCTGTCACAATGCAAAGAATGCAGTAAGAGTTCTTGTAGTTGGTCAATTTTGCTGTCTTTTGACATTGAACATCCAGTATTTTTGATCTAGAGCTGACAATTAAGCTTTACTCATTATTAGTACTTAAATGGTTAGAACTCACCCTATAGTAGATTTAAAAAATATAGAGGGGACAAGTATCATGCAATTACCTCCCTTTGAATTCTTTAGAGACAGCACTTTCATGTGACCTCTTCCTGTGTTACTGCCCCCACATGAATTTTGTGGCAGTAGTTGTACCCAGCAGCATTTTCTAAAGTAAAATTTGGGCAAGAGCTCTAATAATATCCAACTGATGATACTAACATCTTTGGCTACATAATAAGCAAGTCTAAACCAAGAACATGAGAAAGAAATTTGAAAACCTTAAGAAAACTAGGGCAATTGGATTGACTTTAAGAGATCTAATATAATATTTTCAAGACATTCTTACATTTTAATATTCTGCTCCAATTTTCTGTTTAATATTATACTTCATTCCTGTTAGCCAAGCTCAGCAAAGAGTAACGGTCCATTAACTAGTCTATTAATGACTCAAAAAATGAGGATTCTAATCATTACTATTACTTAGCACAAGACACAGTTCCTACTGACTTTTAAGAACATTTATTCAATTGACACGGATAAGCAACACTTGTATCAAGTAAACGGGAAAAGACCTATTAAACATTTTTAAAACAAAACATTTTCAAAATGCAGTCTGAATATAAATGTGACAGCCAGTACAACTTCTTCACAAATATATGTATTGCTTATATTAACCAATTCTTTACTCTGTTAAAAAAGGCTTTTGAATTTCTCCCAGACAAAGACCCCAGATCAACAACCAATAAAGAAACAGAAAAAGGAGACAGGGTAACGTTACCCTGCCATCTTGGATCTTCACTAAGGATCTTCTCAATCATTGCCTGGCTTGCTAAAATTCCTGGTTGCAGATCTGGAATGCCTTCACCGCATCCTAGCTGCCCATTCTGTAACGTTTCCTGTGCCTGAAGTTCTCTAGAATGAGGAAAAGAAAATAACACTGCTAAACTGTATAGATACAGTAACCCTATCTGTTGCAGATATAATCCTGTCTCAGCCTATCAAAATTATCAAAATTCTGTTATTTAATGCAGCTCTTAACAAGCTGAAATTGTAAAAAAAATAAATTGACTGTATTTCAAATCATTACTTGCACTGAAGCTGGCAAACAATCATAAGGAATAACCATGATGTACAAATCAAAGAGAACACACGAAGGAAATACACAGACAATGTTTGTAACTCTGTATGCTGATGTGCTGACATTTTGAAAATGCTATTAATTTCTGATGTTCTACTGCCACATAGGGCAGTAGAAAGATACAGAAAGGGCAATAAGGGTGATCAGAAATACAGAACTCTTTGAGGGAGAATTAAATATCATAAGACTCTTTGTCTTGGAAAAGTTATGACTGAAGGAAGGTACAAAATATACCTATTGAATACTACATCATATAAAAGCAGCCAAAGTACTTTTGACTTACTGTAAGATTTTGCAAAAAAAGTTTGTCAAGACACTTGGGCAACCTAATAACTAACAACGATCATTATGAAGAAATGAAACCTCTTCTGCAAGAATTTACAACTGCTTTGCAAGTAAGCAACCACAAGCTTGCTGAAAGATCAGAATGACTACTACCAAACCAAAAGGTATTGTATTACTGGTATGAAACCTCTGCCAAAAAATATGAGAATTTTATTACATCGTTTTAGTAAAATTAAGCTGCACAGAGATTCAATGGCAAGTTAGTACAAAAGATTTAAAAAAAAAACAACCAACAAGATCCTCTAGCATAATTATATTAGGCAGACTTTGAAGCAACGGAGGAACAAGGTGAGGAATCAAATACCAAAGGTATTTCTATGGCACTCTACGAGAATGAAAGGCCTCTACCTTCAACTGGCACTGGTTTCTCTAGACACAAATATTCAAGGAGCTTATCTTCTATACCAAAGTACTCCTACTCAGGATCTCAGGAGTTTGAAAGATGTGGCGGTTTAGAATGTAACTAGCTATGATATCAATTACATATAATTTCAAGAACTTCCCACACCCCAAGTATCCTCCAAGAAAGAAAACCTCCAAGGGAAAGGAAGACAAGACAGACCTGAAACCAAGTCTAAAACCTTTCAAACAGTCAAAATATTTCTTTCACAGATTCAGAAAAGGTGCAGGCAATGAGAAGGAAAACAGAGAGTTCCTAGACAGTCTTTTTTCTTTAAGGTGGATACGTAGAAGAGCAAGGCTATTAAGAGGAATAATAAGGGAACATCTGCATCGGTGATTATACTGCTATTTCTCTGCCCTTCACTTAAAATGAAGAAACACTAATATGTGTCCATCACAAAGCAAAAAGAACACCGAAGGAAAAATAAAACCTGATTGCTTGGACTTCCTTATGAATGCTGGATGCCTGAAATCAGGAGAAGCAATGGCACACGACTGTTTCCTCACCAACACCAAAGAAGTTTGAGGCAAGCTATTTGTAGGTTGAAGCCGTTAAACACAGACTCCTGTCACAAACATCTTCAGCTCCTGCTGATGCTCTGTATGTAGCCAATCATCAATAAACAATCATCTAACACATTAAAACACATTTAGAGATTGGAGCTTGGTTTCAGTCTTGCTATACGTTGGTTCCTCATTCTAGTACAACACAGAAGATCACAAAGATACTAAGGATCCTGTATTCAGACTGATGTGGCATCATGCTGCGTATGCTAATGAGGAAAGTTAAAAAGAACAAAAAGAAAATGGACAGATGTCTTGCAGAAGAAGCATCCACTAGCTAGTTGAAGAAAGTCTTCTGGAAAGAAAAGCTATATATAACCAAACAGTATGTGACCAGGCAAGGTAGCAGTGAATTCTGTGGAAAAATATGAATTTCAGTAATTACAAAATTACTGAAAAGGCACTAACTTTACTAAAATTATTATGAAGGGAGGGCTATCATCTCCCAACAGATGGTTGGGAATAAGGGATAATGAAGGTAAGAATGTAAGATAGCAGCCGTACCAGCTCAGATCAAAGGTTCATCTAGCCTGGAATCCTGTCTCCAACAGAGGCCAATAGCAGATGCCTAGGGAAGAGTGTAAGAACAGGGCAAGCATAGAGTGATACTTCCCCAGAATACTCATCCAGTGTCCAGTTAGAGGCACTTGTGACCCTCCAAGGCTTCAGAGCTCTCTAGGAATTGGTATCTTTTCCTATTGAGTATATACAGAACACTTTCTGCAGCATGAGTTCTCCTTCCACCCATTTCTAATACCTCCCAACATCCTTATCTCCCAGCTTTGGCCACAGCTAAAATTCATACCTACCACTACCCTGATTCACAAAACACTTTCTTTCGACAATGACTTAATTATACATTAGAAAGGCAGAAAATAATACTGATCTCTTATACATGAAAAAATACAACATAATGTAAAAAAATGCCATATCAGTAAGTAAATGTCAAACATACAAGCTGAGAACCTGAAAGATGGCTTAACAAAATAATGAATTTGTTAATATAAAAACCACATGCAAATTTAAAAAGCAAAAATGACAAAAGGCAGAATATCTGGTCTTTTATCAGTCATAAGAATTATACACATGGCTCTTGAAATTGCAAGTTACAAAATCTTAGTACTTCTATTTCCCAGTGTGCTCCTATCTGCTATCGTGATGCACAGTGAACTGCATTCTTTTGTTTACAGTTACAGAAGTATACTTTTCATGCAAAGCACACTCCATTTTCTGGTACGTGGCAATAACAGACATGTGGTATTTCCTGCTAATTAGGATGAAGAATCTGAAACAAGACTACCTTATATCATATACTGGTGGTCTAAGGTCATGTGGACCATGAGCAAAGGCACAGTGAATTCCATTCTTCACACAGTGACCCCGGGCATCTGTTTCATGAATGCATGTCCCAGTCTTGTAATATCTGAGATGATACTTCCTTTCTGTATCCCCTGTTGTTCGATGCAGGTAAGGGCAACTACACAATAGAAAGAAGAAAGTTAGAGCATTGCTTCGAGGTTTGCTTTTAATGATTTAATTCTGAATGATGCTGTTATTAAATTATAACAAGTAACTTTGCAGGACTCTTCAAATGAAAATTGGCCCAAACAAACGACCATCACAGCTTAGCTTCAAATTAAAAAACATCAATCTATTTTTTAGTCTCTGCTAAAGCTATAAGAATTTATAGCCAGCTGGCTCACAAAAGTATTATTAATAAATCTAGTAAGCACCCCTGTAAGCAACATCATCATCTGAGCTAAGGAATGACATCTTCCATACTGATATAAGCTCAAACCATTTCCACACCAAGAGGTACAAGAAATTTTTATTATGTTTTTAACTTTACCGTCATCTAAAATCAAGGGGTACTTGAAGCACAGTGATTATTTTTTTTCCTGCCTGCTCTTCATAGACCTGGAACTTACTGAGCAATCTCAAGGGAAATCTAAAATGACTCTTCTATTAAAAGGAAGAGAAAAATTTTTACATCAGCAATACATCTTTGTACATATACTAACCATTTTTCAGACATAACTATATGAGTTACGGTCTATACTTTAAAATGGCTAGCAGCATGTGCTGATTATAATTCCAATTAACAATAGTAAACAAATTTTAAAAATCTCACAAAAATACATGCCTGTTCTCTGCCAGTTTATATCAGTGTAAGTAATTTCGGTCTCTGCTGGTTTTGAAAAAATATTAATCTCCAAAACCTACTTTTCCCCATCCCAAAGCAAAAAGAAACCGCACCAAAAAGTTTAGACAGTGATACAGACCAATAAATGAAAAGCCCCAGAAAAATATTTTACCTTGAACGGAGGGAGAATAGCAAAGCACTAAATAGACTTTTAACACCCATAAGTTATTTAGAAACCAAACAAATTCAATTGTTCGCAAACATTCACAACTGTGGCATTTATATCTTTACATTAAATCATACATTTTTTCCTGTTGTGCTAGACACCTGCAGCTTGTGCTGACTTCCAGGAACTGACATTGTTTATGATTTCTAAGAATCAAGCTGCTGTTTTGTAGGAATTTAAAACCAGCATTCTGGTAAACAAGATAAACGGGCTGCAGCTAGTGATCTGTACCTCTCTCTTTAAATCCCAACAGAATTAATTAGTAGGAAGACAAGGTATACCAAATTCAGTGCTACATCTCATTTTGTCAGTATAAGATGGTGCACAGTCTACACTCAGGATCTGAAAGTAGTTCTTTCACACTTCTTGGCTCTACATGGAAAGACAGACAGGATGCTGGACCCATTATAGTGCCTCAGCTGAACTTTGTGAGAAATTCTTTGAGATGTGTGAATAGCCACCCTCCTGTTCTGCTAGAATTGCTACTGATATGGAGAAATTAAAAAAGCCACAAGACTCAATCAGATACTTTTGCCAGCACTAGTCCTGTACAGAACTCTAAAGAGGAAATGCAATCTGAGGCTATATTTTCATTATTGCTAACTGTCTCACCACTAGCAGAATCTTTGCAGGGGTTAAATGTTTCCATTTTCCCAGCAGACTATTCATTGCAAACTCTAATCTTTCACTCATTGATGCACACCCCACAAAGGCGAGAATACTCTGTCATACTCTTATGTATAATGTTCACACCTCCATTTTCATCTACTTAACTTTGTTCATTCCTATTGGAAACAAGAAATAAATGTCTTATTTTCCATGCAAGAAGTGTACAGGTGTTTACAGCTCATTACTTGTCTCTAAGTCCATGGTTCCTTATCAGAGGACAAACATTCTTGCTTAAACATCTGCAGTTTTTCCCTCGCAAAATCACCTTATCAGTGGAGATCCCCCCAAAAATGTTAAAGCCTTCAATTATTTTTAAATTACTGATTAAAAAAAAAAAAAAAGATAGTTCAATGGAATATAGACAATATAGACATAGCTTGTCAGACAAGCTAGGCACAACTTGTTGTATGCAATGTAAGAGAGGGAGAAATACTCAGGTCACAATTTTTCCCACAAAAAGACAACATGGATTCCAAAAACAAGCCAGTAAAGAAATAAAAACTGTCACAAGAATCTTACTTCTACTAAATTAAACATAGGTTTGTTTGCCCTAAGACTCAATACTTGTGTCATCAATAGCTAATGAAATCTGAATTTTATTGAGAACACAGCTCTCCTGCTGCACGTTTTGCTAGCTGCCTGAAGAGTCCCATATCAGGTGAAGTCCTCCTCCAGAAACTAACAGAATGCTTTAAGGAGGCTATCTGGGGTGGCTGGCACAGTTTGTTTTCTGAAATTTGTCTAAGACTTGTAAAGAACTAGATAAGGACTAGTTCTAAGTGCACGCAAGCCTCAAAGAGCAAAAACGATGGCATCAATTTTGCATGTATACGTTTTACATAAAAATGTGTTATTCATACAATATCACAATAATACATATGCTATTGACCAGAGAAATCTTTCTTCATCAGCTGTAGTTCATTGTAGGACCATTAGTCAGCAAGGCAAAAAGTCCCTAATAAGTGCAGCTTTTAGACAGTAGACAGTACTTATTCACACATAGCATCAAACTAAGCTAATGCACTGAAATATGCACAGAACAGATGTTCTACTCAACCTTTAATGAACTAGAGGGATGTTATATCTTACTTTCACTTTATTAATGAAATATTTTAATGAAGCATAAACCATTCTGATACATAACTTCAAACAAGACTAGTACTTTGATTTAAAATGGCTGATTTTAATTACCATTGGATTACATGGCTGCAAACTGATAAACTTGTTCTTAAGTACCACAGTTTGGTACTAAGATTGATCAGACACCACTTACTCCTTCGGAACAAAGTTGGGGGTTTTTCTTCCTTAAAAAAAAATGTTCCCAGGCAGAATAATAAATCTATTTCATGGCCCATATTTCTACAGCCATCTCCCAGCTTAAAATAACTGTACTGAATCCTAACTTAGTAATCATGAATCAGTAAGAACATTACTCTGTATTTTTAAGTTCTATTGGAGTCTACACACAGTATTTAACTATTGAAATCAGCTTTGTTTTTTGCATCTGGATGTCACAAAGTAAAACTGTCATTACATTATTAAAAGTAAGTAGATGCATAAACCACAAAACAGAACATACATTCACATAACTGAAAAGGTTAACTGATTACTAAAACTTATATTTTCTTTTCAGACTCGTCTCAATTCACATCATAAACACTCCAAAGATAACCTTCAAGAATAAAACAGTTCCAGTTTAAAGGCTAGATGTCCTTAAGCGTATGAAAACAACTACATACTGTTCAACGTTGAGCCACTGACATATTTCTTCCTATGACTACTTGAAGTGCTCTTCTATAGTAGGCTTCTGCAGTTCATTCACTCTTAGAGCAGCCTTAAATTACAGATACTAACATAACCAAAATAATCTTTCCTTAGAATCTGACAACAGTTGACTACAACAGTTGACAAAAACACATCAGATTTAAACAGATCTATTCTCACTTGTGAAACTGAAGAAAAACTATTCACTGCTCAAAATATATCCCTCTAACTCTGCAAGTAATCTAGTCTTTCTCGCAGGCCCTTCCTTAGAACAGATTGTTTTAATTTGCTACCCTTAGAAAAGCCCTGTTCTAAACACTTTAGAATTTTGGGCTTCTTTTCATTCCAAGTTGAACTGTGGAAAGAAATATCACAGTCAAGCCTGGGTAAAACCAACAATTTCTATTTAAACTCTCTTAAAAGTATGTTCCTGAGAACAATTATGGGTGTCATCACTCTACCTTTCTTGCTCTATCAGCTGACAAACTGCATTAACCTAACCATATACTCAGATGAGCAGATCAGAGAAATAGAGACAGGGATAAAAGCCAAGAAAGTACCAATACGTTGTCACAAAGAGCTTAACAGAAAGGTGTCCTGGCACTACTGATTATAACTTGTTTCTGTAAGAATTTGAAGTTGCTCCAAATAAAAGGCTAAGTTTTAGGCATAAGACAAAACAGGGTCAAAAATACACTCTTTTCCTGAGTTCTAAAGCAGGAATGCTGCCACGCTGTAAGCAAGTCCTCAGAAATGGTGGTGGTTTCCTTCATTTTTTTCTCCTGCCACTACAGACATGCTTCGGCGCCTTCTATCTTTAAAAAAGTTACCTTTGACTTATCTTGCCTTTCCCAACTATTTGCCCTGTATGCCTTTTCTCTTCTACCTTAACTTCAACGAGCTATCAATTTCCAATAGCTGACTGCCATTTCTAGCCACTAGTTCTCAGGATTAGGCCCTCCACAGTTCAGCTGAAACTCATCTCACAAACGCCTCCAATAATCCCACCTTATAACCAAGTCAAAGAAAACAGGCTCTGTTTTCCCCTCTCACAGCTGTCTTCATTTAATTAATTTACTGTCTGCTCCATTTTTCTCCCCTTGAAACATTGTTCTCCTTTGTTTATGGGAATTCAGTTACATTCACATTTTCCTCTCAATCCCTCCTTTAGCATATCTTCCAATGTCAACATTCTCTTATGCCTCTGGCGAGGTGTCTCACAGGACTCCAGCCTTGGTCCCTGCTCTTTTCCTTCTACATCTGGGCAATTTCACTACAAAACACAAACTCGAAAACCATCACTTCTTTGCTGATAACTCCTAAACCTATCCATTTAATTCAAATTGTAAGCACAACATGCTAAAACAGGAGTACTGGTCTTATTTCTGGCAAGTCCTCTGCCCTTCCATTATCCTAGACAACAAAATCACCCTGTTTGTCATTTAGGCTCCTAACCAGGGAGTAATCTTCAGCAACTCTAGGGGACAACCTTTCCAATCCTATTGCAGCAAAAAAGGTTTCCATCTCACGTCTCCTCTTATTTGCTTCTAGCAATTCAATCTTGCCTTGCTAATATCCTTTTAAAACATTGCTTCATTTTTGCTCCTTTAGAATCAGGATCTATCACTCAATAACGAACGGTCAATTTTTGTCCTCAACGAACCCATGATATGAGCATCCATTATCCTCATTTGTCGATTTTCAAAGAACTGCCCATGCTGCCCCAGGATTGGCAGGAGTGCTTTACAAACACCTGCAAAGAGAATTAATTGTTCTCTTTTAAATCACCCCTCAGAGACATTTATTGCTGTTTATATTGCTTAGGCCTGGTACTCAATATTGTCACGCTGCCTAATGCATTTTTATTGTTTACCTGTCTTTCAGTTTGTAAAGCCTCTGGGAAAAATCCACTTTTTTCTTCTGTGACTACAGTCTACAACACAAAAGACACCTGATCCGTGACAAGGGCTGCTATACACTACAGTGACCAAAATAATTCATCTTCAGTGTTTCAAAGAGGTGACCAGCATAACTACATACTTCCTGGCTGTTTTCCTGCAATTTTTTTTTTGTCAGGAAAAGGTAGCTCCTCTGACATATGAACATAACATACCCAGGTCTTCTATAGATGCCTGCCTGCCAGCCATACTGTACCATTTGCTCATTCTCACCTCCACAAAGCTTCTACCCCTTCCTGAGTTCACTGAAGACTCTCTGGTAGCCTTTATCTAGAGCAGACACGTGTCCATGGAAATGCAAACACTATTGGGCCAGCCAGACAACTATCAGTGAACTCCTTCCTTTGCTTTTTCTCACTGGAAGCATCACTAAACTGTTGTTCTCCTCTGATACCCTTCAACCTTCACAAAACTTACAGAAGTTTATAGCCATCTCTAACTATAGTTTGTATCTACCAATCAAGGAAGCAGAACTGAAAAAAACCCAAAACAAGACTAGCACAAATGTGCAGGAGCAGTACTAGCAGAAAAACAGTTTCTTAGGTTACGCTTTAAAGATACTCACAATGAAAAATCATAGTTCTAATTCTATGATAGCCTAGAGAATACACGTTCATATAAAAGTATATGTGCCAAAAATTAACAGTCACTTACAGAAATCTGTTTTCAAATAAACTGCAGCAGGATTCTATCAATCATTTTTGCTGAGGAGAAATTAGCATCTTTCCTTAATGTCATTGATAATACTATAAACACCTAGGACTGAAAGAAATCACTTACTCATCTCCATCTGGGCAGATTCCTGTAGTCTCATCATATTTTGTACAATAAACATCTGGACTGTAGTTAAAAGTCCCATCACGCCTTCGTATAGGTCTACGACGACGCTGATTTAGGAAATGCCAATGAAAACAGGTAAATGGTCTGTGCTGGGTACACTTGTGCTGCAAAAATAGGGGGCACTGCTCTGTCCTAAATTCCTTTAGATACCTAAAAAAATTAAACTGTGTTACAAGTTTATCTTATTGGAGGCACATTTTTACAGTATTAACAGGGCACTTGACAATTCAGTGCACATAGCCCGTGAAAAATTGTACAAATGTACCTGCATACAGTTTTAGTTCCTATGCACAATTGACTGTTTAGCTGTTGAACACAAGTGACTTCATATGTTATGACAGATGCATTACTAATGAAATACGGTGGAATATCTAGCAAATTATACTATGTTTTGTAACTAAACTAAAACCAAATAAATACAATTATTTAAGAAGCACAGTATGTAGAATAGTCTCAAGTAACCACCAAACAGAGATTATAAATCCAACAAGTAACTTGAATAGGCATTCATTTTGCTTGCTACCACACAAAATAGTCCTACAACAGCTATTTTAGCTAAACACCACACCTAATTTAAACATTAGTCCTTAGTCACAATATTCACAGACTGTGAACACACTGTATAGAAAGCCAGAGGGTCAAAAGAGGTTTATGAAGGTTATCAGGGGCTATGAGAGGACTTCAGCAAACTTATTTTAGTGACTGTTACATTTGTGTTGGGAATTTGGGGTCTTTGAAGGTTACTCAGGTGTACGACAGTCCTTCCTTAGCATGCCAGGCACAGAAGCTAGTTAGGAAGTCTCGTACTTCTTTCCACAGGACATAAAGATCATGCCAAACTGGGCACTACTGTGGCATTTGCCAAAGGCTGTAGGACAGCACTTCTGTCTTAAGTTTATGGATCTATTAGCCAATTTAGCAAGTTCACCACATCGCTTAAGTTATGGAGTATTTGCAGAGGAAAGGGTATATGGGGGCTTTGCAGAAAAGCCTTAGAGTTCCCAAAAGTTTTTAAAACTGTGCAGGATGTGCAACAGGCTATGAGGGGACTGAAGATATAGGGAAATTGAAGGACTAGGAAGAGGAATAAAGGGCATCTTTTTGGTCTCAGTAGCTTACACTGGCACATGAGGCATGTAATGACAGTTATGAAACATATCTTTAAATTTAGAGAAGAACCTCTAAACTACCCAGGATTGTGGGGTGGAAAAAAAAAAAAAAAAAGGAACGGAATTTTTGGACGCTAAAGGCTACAGGATGTGCTGCAGCAGTATCTAGGTAAGCGCCTGCACTCCTGTGGTCTGAGAAACACGACATTATAGAGGTGATGATACAGGGGACAGGAGTGAAGGAATGCCACAGTTAATTGGTAAATTATGGTGGGGAGCACACGGTCCCAGGCGGGGCGGGCTGTCAGTAGTGCCAGAGGGCTGCAGGGACCTGCGAGACCGCAGCAGGAGAAAACGGACCGGCCCCTCGGTACGGGAAGGTCCTGCAAAAAAGTCCCAGGGACTCGGGCTGAGGCGACGCTCCGGAGAAGCGGCAGGGCCGCTGTCCGAGCGCGGTCCCGGAGGGTGCCGCGGGGCTCGGCACGCCGGGGGAAGCCGGCGGGTCACGGTGCGGACCAGAGAGGCAGGACGGCGGGAGCGGAGAACCGCGGCGGCCGCTCCGGGGTCAGCCGCGCCCGGGCGGCCTCAGGAGGGGGCTTTCCTCCCCGCGGCGCCGGAGAAGGCGCGCGGCGGCGGCGGGCCGGGCCCGGGCCG